AATGTCCGCAATGGACTCATAATTAACCACAGTCGGTTCGGGGCCGATGATGCGTGCCGGTGTGATAGCCCGGTCCTGAAGCCACTGTCGGAGGCTTGCGCGAGTTGTCGGATCATGGGTCACCCAGTCCACCACCGCCTGGAGCATCGCCGGGTAGTGCACCTCGGGTGCACGAGCTTGGAGCGACTGAATCCAGGGCGGTGTCTAACACGATTAACTACCTCGATACTTGTACGGTGCGCCCATTGTCGAACTTACCAAGAGCTCGCTCTCAACAAACTCGGTGAGCGCGTCCCAGGTGAGATGACTATTCAGCATCATCACGAAAGTCGCCGAAAGTCCCATTATCCGTGCATCAGTCCAGCTATCCGGGAGGTCGTCGGTCAGAATGCGGGTGTCCTCCTCGTCATCGCCGAGCCGGCCGCGGCAGACGGCGACCTGAGAACGAAGATCGGCCAAAGTATGGACCCCAACCATGGTAGAGCAGTGAAGCAGAGGGGGCGCACGACTGTTTACGGTGCCCGCTGCCATGCAGTATATCTGGGGAGCGTGCACGGCAAATCACGTACCGATTACTAGAACGTGGAGCCTCGGCTGAGTGCATGAGGTCCGAATTTCAGGGCCGCGCACGATCATCAGCGCGTCCAGCTCAACACGTGGATGGAACGAGGCATGCGTCTAACGCTAGCACGGCGGGAGGAGCCGTTGCCCGTGAGCGGCGGCGCAGCACCCGATTGGGGTCCACAGCAGCACGCCGAAGGAGTGCGCCGATGGTGCACGTCCGATGCAGCGATGCGACGCAATAATTACTGGTGGCCACGCTGTATTGCTGTCCGGTTTGCACATCGTGAGATTATGCCGCTCTGCGCGCCGCGTGCACCATTGGCGCACGGTACCGGCGCACGCGCGCTCCGCAACGGTTTCATTAGAAACGGAGGCGCGCCGCCCCGCGCGCTGTGTGCACCATTGGCGCACGGTACCGGTGCACGCGCGCTCCGCAACGGTTTCATTAGAAACGGAGGCGCGCCGCCCCGCGCGCTGTGTGCACCATTGGCGCAAGATACAGGTTTGTACGCGGGCGCGCTCCTTCGACGCGATTCTACCTGCGAGCTGCCAGCACTATGTACTTAGAGTTCATCGGTTACACGGTCTTAGAGGATTTCAATTAGTACAACACGTAAGATACATGCCTAAGATCAACGGACAGCAAGTACATAACATCCAGGCGCAACAGTGACACAACAGAAATGAAACAATCAGACCTTCGGAGACGAGGCTGGGGTACACCCATTACCATCCATGCTAGCGGATGGCGGGGCAGGCCCAACTTCTCTGTCGGCGGGTGGCGGAATGGGCTCCCCACCGCCTTCAGTAGTGGACGGCGGACCACCCCCCGCACCACCTTCGGTGGCGAACAACGGGGCGGGCCCAACAGTGTTCCCAATGGCGGGCGGCGGGACAGGCTCGACACTTTGCCCGCTGGTCGGCGGCGGGACAGAGCCAGAACTGTTGCCGTTGGCGGGCGGCGGGGCAGGCTCAACATCGCCCTCGATGGCGGACGGCGGGCGGGGCCAGCACGGTCTGCGCTGGCGGGCAGCGGGGCAGCGCCCGCAGCGGGCCCGCTGATGGATGCCTGGGCAGCATCCGCAGCGTCCTTCCTGGCAACTATCGCCTCCAGCTCCACGACGCGCCCCTCCAACGCCTGCATGTGCTCCCACATGCGCGCGAGCTCTTCTTCGTCGGGCTTCCTGCGTTTGGCCGGGTTCATCGGCTCCTCGTCGGTGTCCGCTCGACGTTTTCCTGTGCGTTTGGTAAGGTCAGTCCGCCGAGATGCGACCGTGGTCGGTGTGCACTCACCTGCAGACCGCCCGCCGCTGCGCGACGACTCAGCTTTGTCGGGGCCGTGCTGAGACGCGTCCTCGCCGGGGTTTCCCGCCGGCTCCATGCTCTGGGACTTGTGCCCAGCAGCGTCACCGCTCGCTCCAGACGCGTCGGCACCCTGAAACAATGAGTATGAACGGTCGCTGTGCGGAGTGCAAGGAACTCACCCCGAATGTGCATTTCTGCTTCAGGACTTGCACCTGTCACACGTCTTCCGCCCGGTGCTCAGCACACAGGTCCCCGCGCCCCGTCGGACGCATCGTTCGCACCTGTTCCGGCCAGTGAGCTGTGCACAAAAGTAAGTACGCGAGCGGAGGACAGGGTCGCGAACTTACCGTCGCCTGGCCGGGCACATCCTTCGGAGCCGTGGCCCCGCGCGTACTTCCCGCCTCAGCATTCCCGGGGGTCTTGCTCGTTTGTGACGCGCTGCCGCGCCCGGAGCGCTTTTTGGGAGCGGGTTTCTCCTCTTGTTCCTTCTCCTTCATTCTCGCGGCAACGACCTCTTGGGCACCGTGTGATTGAGGCTCTCCGCATCGTCAAAATCATCGAAGTCGGTGGGCCCGCACTCTGTATTCCAGTGTAGTTCCAGTGTAGTTAGTAATATTGTTGCGCAGATAAACACGTAAACTTACCAAGGAAGCGGTCATTCGCTGCACTCGCGAGGACGCGTTGAGTCGTTGTAACAAATCGTGCAACTTGAGTACTCACCGAGCCAACGGTCCACAAGCGGGCGGAACGCTGCCTCTAGTTCCGTTTCATCTGCGTCTTCAGCAATTTTCCTCACACCTCTGTTCCGCCAAACGTCCAGCCACTCTTCCAGCGTCGCCGGGAACACACCCTCCGGGGCAAGTCGTCGAATTGCCAGTCGAAGGCATACTTGAGCATTCGAGGGAAGTCGGACGTGTCGTTCCGGTGGTTCAACGAGCGGACCATGGGTTCAGTCTGACAGACTCATTGTTAGAAAGCTAGCACCGGAGACCGTGAACTGGACTTACGAAAATGTCGGCCTGCAGAATGTGCTCGACCGCTTCCCAGTCGAGCGGGCTGTCGACCGCCGCACGTATCGTGACGTTGGTTATCCGGAGCGTCTCGTCGTCCCAGGTGTTTTGGTGGGTACCCCGTCCGTGAAGAGTGGTTCTACGTTACCGTCCTCGTCGGCGATTGTTGCCGCCTCGAATCGCTGGCGCTGTGACTCCGACATGGCAAGGGCGTCGAGCCGGGCGAGGAACGCTTCATAAGTGATGAAGCCAACCATAGTGCACGTGCGGTGAGTAAGGAGCACAGGGGAGAGAGCGGGAGCGGAGAGTGTGCACGAAGGAGCGGTGGCGAGACGGGAGACGAAGGAATGAACGCGGAGGTGCGGGCCCGTGAAAATCGGATGCGAATGTAGATCACCAGATCAATCTGATCTGTGGGAACGGGGCCGGCGCGGAAGCATTGCGGCAATTTCCGGTGAGCGCGCATTGATCGACAGCAATCAGACATGCGCGCTGCAAACGAGCGCTCCTCCTACCGTATTGGGAGTAAGGCCCGCCGCGTAAAGCCGCCGGTAAGCCGCCGGATTCTGTGCAGCTCGCTGCCCAAGGCGGTGACCGTAATACCAGGATCGGGTCCTTTATGCGTGGTCGAAAGTGACGGCTGAGGACAGTCGGGAACACAGCGGGCGCACGCCGTTGCCGTACAGTGCGCCACTGGCGCAGGCGAGGCTGCTCGGCCGGCGGTGCACACGCCGCTGCACGGCGGCGGCTGAGTGTGCCGGCTGCGACCACAAACTGACCTCGGGAGTCAGTTGTGTTCCGGGGGAAAACACCATCCCCAAAACTGCTAACTCAGCGGTGTGTCGCTCATAGGGAGGACGACCGTACGGTGCGTTCAGAGCAACGCGAGTACTGGTGCACGGCGCATCCGCCGGCCGTGCACCGACAACGTCTCAACCCTCACTACGTACCGCAGGCCATCCCGCACGTGACAATTTTACGCCGCCGGGCACGCCGTGTGCACCATTGGCGCAGGGTATCGGCGCTCGGCGCCATAGCAGAAGCACACTACCCGCGCGCGGCGTGCACCATCGGCGCAGAGTCCTGGCTGCGTGCGGGTGCGTTCCTACAGCCCGACTCACCTGCGAGCCGCTCGTACGTAGAGTCCGTCGGTGCAAGCTAACATTGGGTTGTAAATTTGGACGGAAAGTGCGGTGATTAGTACAAAAGGTAAGCTACGTACATGAGCAACATCAAATCATGACGAGGACAGGATGGGTGCACGTAGGTGGGAGCATACAAAACGGAATACACCAGGACAGCATCATACCTTGTCAGCCGCGGCCGGGCCAGCCCCCGTACCGTCCTCGTTTGCGGATGACGGGGAACTCCCGGCACCATTCTCGCCGGAGGGCGGCGGGGCAGACCTAGCACCGTTCCCGTCGGCAGGCGGCGGAGCGGGCTCTGCTCCATCCTCGCTGGTGGTCGGCGGGGTCATGCCGGTACCGTTCCCGTTGGCGGGCGCCGGGGCAGGCTCGACACCGCCCTCGATGGCGGACGGCGGGGCGGGGCCAGCACGGTCTGCGCTGGCGGGCAGCGGGGCAGCGCCCGCAGCGGGCCCGCTGATGGATGCCTGGGCAGCATCCGCAGCGTCCTTCCTGGCAACTATCGCCTCCAGCTCCACGACGCGCCCCTCCAACGCCTGCATGTGCTCCCACATGCGCGCGAGCTCTTCTTCGTCGGGCTTCCTGCGTTTGGCCGGGTTCATCGGCTCCTCGTCGGTGTCCGCCCGACGTTTTCCTGTGCGTTTGGTAAGGTCAGTCCGCCGAGATGCGACCGTGGTCGGTGTGCACTCACCTGCAGACCGCCCGCCGCTGCGCGACGACTCAGCTTTGTCGGGGCCGTGCTGAGACGCGTCCTCGCCGGGGTTGCCCGCCGGCTCAATGCTCTGGGACTTGTGCCCAGCAGCGTCACCGCTCGCTCCAGACGCGTCGGCACCCTGAAACAATGAGTATGAGCGGTCGCTGTGTGGAGTGCAAGGAACTCACCCCGAATGTGCACTTCTGCTTCAGCCTCTTGCACTCGTCGCACGTCTTCCTTCCGGTGCCGAGCACACATTCCTTCACGCCCCGCCGGACGCATCGCTCGCACCTTTTGCCGGTGAGCTGTGCACCGCAAGTAAGTACGTTATGTGAGGGAAAGGAAGGAACACTTACCGTTCCCTCGCCGGGCACAGTCTTCGGTGCCGTTGCACCGCGCTGTCCCCCGCCTTCGCCTTTCCGGACGTCTTGGTGCTTCGTGACACGTCACCGGACGTCTTGCTGCCTCGAGGCGTTTTTCCGCGTCCGGAGCCCTTCTTCTTGGTGGCTGATATCTCCTCTTGCCTGGCAGCGACGACTTCGGCGGGCACATCGTGGGTGATGTTGTCGGGATGGTCGTGCTCGTCAAAGTCGGCGGGCTCACACTCTGCAATAATGCGTAGTTAGTAGCTGCCGTGAAAATGAACAGGCGAGCATACCAAACAACCGGTCATTCTCTGCACTCGCGAAGACACATTGAGTCGTTGAACACGCCGTAAACCTGAGTACTCACCGAGCCATCGCTCCACAAGCGGGCGGAACGCCTCCTCCAAATCCTCGTCATCCGCATCCTCGTCGATCCTCCTCACCTTCCTGTTCCGCCAAACCTCCAACCACTCCTCCAGCGTCGCCGGGAACACCCCCTCCTCCGGCAGACGATTAAATTGCCATTCGAAGGCGTACTTGAGAAGCTGCGGGAAGTCAGACGTGACGCCCCGGTTGTCCAAAGACTCGATCATGTCTTCAGACTACCAGACGCGTTATTAGCAAGGTAGCACCGGAGAACTGAACGTGGATTGGACTTACAAATATGTCGATTTGCACGACACGCTCGACCGCTTCCCAGTCGAGCGGGCTGTTGACTACAGCGTGGATCGTGTGGTTCAGCTGCCTGAGGTTTTCATTGTCCCAGTCGTTCTTGGTGGGGACCGCGTCCGTGAAAAGCGAGTATTTTACCGCGTCATTGACCGTCTTTGTCGACGCGGTGAGTCGTCGCTCTTGGGCACGAGTCGTGGCCGCGGCGCCGAGGCGGGTGAGAAACGCGTCGAATGTGATGTGGCCGACCATGGTGCACACGCGATGAGCACAGAGCACAGAGATGCGAGGAGCGAGAAGAGCAGAGGTGCGCGAGGAAGCGATGGGACGGGAGCACTGACGGTCAAGCCACAACGGAGACGTGGGCCCGTGCCGGATACGAACACAGATCGCGAGATTGATCTTGATCTGTGGGCACGGGGCCGGCGCGGAAGCATTGCGGAGACTTCCGGTAGCCGCCGTAGCGCCGTGCACATGAGCGCTCCGTGTCCAGACGCTCCTTTGGGCCTGAGGCGGTGACCGTCTCAACGATGCACCACCGAAGTAGCAGCCTTACTGATCGGCGGCACACTTGTCGCATTTTCACCCAAGTCGGCATCGATGCCCGAGGTCAGTTGGTCGCGGCAACGCGCACACGCCGCCACCGCCGTGTAGCGGTGTGTCTCCTGAGCGCGTCACGCCCATGCACGTATGTTTTGTTCAAGTATCATTATTGTCGCACGCACTTCATGTAATCGTATCGTCCGCATTATGCATGGACTTTGCCGTCGTCTCTCATCCTTGTCCACCTGGCTTACTGAGCGAGCGAACAGTGGCATTTTACCCGCGATCGCGCCATGACGCAATCGCGGGTTAGCGTGCCATTTCGTACGTCCTTACCAACAATGATAACCGGTGGCTGAGGCTCGTCGTCCAGGTGAGCCGTCTTCCTCTGTGTCTCCTACAGAACGGCTGTACTTACCCGCATTTGCGTCATGACGCGAATGCGGGTAAGAAGATAAGCACGTGTGGGGCGCGTCGCGCGTCTGTGCACGTGCGGTCACGCACGACTGGCCGGCACGTGGTCTAGCCGGCGTAGCCCCAAAGACGCCCACGTCGCGCGAGGCTGCTCTGCTCCGGGCACGAAAGTTGGGAACCGAGTATGAGCAACCCACTGCCGGTCCGCACGGAGTGTGCACCGTTGGCGCAGACAATACTAGTGAACACCGGCATTTGTTGTGCGAGCAGGTGGGGGGATGGTCTGAGCCTGCGGTGAGTGTGCACCATTGGTGCATGCGGGCCACACCGCACGCACCCCTCGACTTTAGTGCAGCTCGCGCTCTCCAGAATCAGAACAGACACCCTGAGAGTAGGTTGGCGGACACCGTTCTCTGTGCCATTTACTAACATGTGAGACAGAATGAACGCAGCCTTATCTACAATAAGTCTCAGAGGATTTGTTCGCCTCCCGCAACCCGGTGTCTTCGGGATTCTGAGCTAAGTGCACCGTCGATGGCACTGTTGTTGGCTCGCGGTGCACTCAACGCGGCCCGGCGGGGTCGTATGTACAGCTCTGTCCTGCAGTTGATGGATCAATGGACATTGTGTCACTGTGACGAAGAACTTTGACGAGAAGATTAGATCCCTCCCGCAATTCAGGAACCTTCCCGTTGTCCGCGGTGCACCAATGCAGGCATACCGCGGTAAGGGCTGTCCGGTTCGGCATCTAGCACGCATTGAGTCTTGATGTATATAGTTTGCCTTGCATTTAGGTAGCCCTTGCGTGTGCGCAAACCTCATTCCACCCGCATGCTGGTTAGCATTGACCGGAGCCGGTGCACGGGGCCTCCGCGGTGGTCGTGCACCAGTGGTGCACGTCACGCCTGAGTGCTCTCCGGTACATGCCTTGAGATCATGCACTTTACGGACTCCGTCCGGAATCGAATTATGTATCTAGCGCGTAACATCTACTTTCACACCGATGTCCGGGGCAACAACATGTACACTGCGACGGAGGAATCTTCGATTCACGCGGCACGCGCTCCGCCATGACCGAGACCGAGACAGACAAGGATTAGTCAATCAAAATAACCTGTGAATTGTCGGGTATCAGCGAGCTCGCTCGCTACACAAGCTCTGAGCATTGCGCACCTCGCGCGAACATCTCTGCTTTAGTAGCCGACAGGTGAGACACGGCGGCTGACCATTGTGCATTGCGCACACCTTCGACCTTACCTCGCGGCAACGAAAGCAGCGGTTGTCGTCCAGAAGCTAATGAACCGGTGAGTACTCTTCGGCTTTCTTTCAGTACGCTCACACTCACAACCTCGAATATAAAGTCGTCCGGATGCCCGCTAACGTCGGGCAGGCGGTCAGAGCCGTCATCGCGGTAGTGCACCCCTTCAAACCGCATTCAGTGTCCAACAGATACTTGGAGTGTGATCATTACTCACTGCGGCCCAGCCGAGCGCCGACTACGAGAGTACGTTACAGAATGTGAGTGCATGTATAGCATTGAGACGAGCATACATACCGTGAAGGCGGTTCAACGTGTCTATTATAGCCTCAAAATTCGCCGCGGTGGGCTCCGGACCCACAAACCTCAGCGCCATAATGCCGTGGTCCCCCAGCCAGTCCTTGAGGTCAGTCTGAATCGTTGGACCGCGAGACACCCAATCCATGATTACTTGCACCCCCATCGGGCGGCGTACTGCGGGCGGACAGGTTTCGAGTGACGCGATCCATTCCGGTGTCTACCGCAGGAGTAGTTTACTTCAGTTAGTACGTGCACTGTGCACTTGCCGTGGAACGTACGAATAACTCGCCCTCGAAGAACTCCGCGATTGCATCCCAGTTGAGATGGCTGTCTAGTACGATCTGCACAGTTGCACGAAGGCCGAGCATACGGTCATCGGTCCAACTGTCGGGGATACTGTCGGTCAGGATGCGGCCGCGGACATCGTTCGTCTCGCCGAACCGAGCGCGGTATATTCTTATTTGATCCCGAAGCTCGACGAGAGTGTACACGCCGACCATGTTGGAGCAGCAAAAGCAGAGGAAGTTTGTGTTCAGCCCCTGCCTGAGGTATCGATGCGTATCAGTGAGGGGATCACGGTGCCGGCGCGAGGTCTCCAATCATGATCCATCAGTATGTTATCCGGGGATCGGTGCCTCACGCGAGAGTTCCGTCCTCACTTTAACTGCGCCGCCCTAGAAGCTGGCACTTCTGCACGACACGCGTGAGCCGCCCGTACGTAATGTGATAAGGTGAGGGTTCGTGTCCTTGTGTTGCGCTCACAGTGATTGTTCCCGCCAGCTGCTTGCTGAGACTGTGTGTGCACATATCTGGTAGGTATTGCTCGCTAGGTGTTGTGCACCGCGCGGCGTGCACATCGGTGATCATCCTGAGCGTTATACATTGCGGGCACAGCACGAGGCTTATCTGAAGAGAATACCGCCGGATCACTGCTTGCGAATTTGCATCTGTGACTCACTTGACGTGACCGAGACCGGTCGCCCGGCAATACGAGTCAATGGTGCACCACTGGTGCAGCATCCTGACCCAGGCCCCGCGAGGCACCGTTAATTCCGAATACGTCGTGTAAGAACGCCGCACGGATGACCGTCCGTTCGGCCGAGGCGTTGCGCCGTGCGCCAGTGGTGCATTGGCGGCATCTGATACCGAGCTTCAGCCGGAACTTGTTCCCGCGTAACGGATACAGAGTACGCCGCGCTGTAAATGGGATTGATCCACGATAGCCCATCTCCGCCGTGCGCTATTGGTGCACCACTTTGGATGTGCCCGCATGGTTCACCCGTCTTCCCCGTTGAATATGTATTGTCGGAGCAGATCGCGGCTGCGTGACGGCTTGTATCCGCACGGAGAAAGCGATCTGTGCACCAGCGGTCCATGAGGTCGTGAGCCAGCCCTTCGCTTGCTCAACCGGATTTTAAATCAATGTAACCGGGATGCCACCGCGCTTACCGGCGATGTTGAATGAGTCTAGGTGCACGCATCTGAGTCACAGGCGTCGGTGTGCGCTGCGGGGACAGCGCACAAGCTTGCGCCAGTGGCGCAGTGCACAAGCGTGTGCTCGACTCCCGGCGCAATTCTAGTGTTCACCGTGGGTGGGATCGGCATACACTATCACTGATATTTTGGCATGTGCACCTTAGCTCAACGTAAGCACTCACTCAACAACTTTCCAATCAGTCTCCTTCCGTTGTGCACCAGCATTAGACAAGTGCGCGCTGCTCGTACCATGTATTTCCGTCGTACCCGCAATTCTGTACACGGATACTATCAGGCTACACGTCGGACCTCCGCCATACTAGCCGCTGCCGGTCTCCGCGTCGTCGTCGCTCGAGTCGCTGACGTCAATGGGCTGTTTGAAGTCCCTGTCAGTCGTGAAACTAGGACCGTAAAATGCCCGAGTGCTACATACTTCAAGTGAGCAGCTCTGAAGCAGAATCCGGCATGTAATGCACGGCGGCGTGCCGTTGTGCACCACGCAGGAGTCGCAACTGACAACCTTGCAGCAATCACATCGGTTCTGCCCTTCCCGCTATTGCAGTAAGCGTGTAAGTACTTGCGGGACTTTTTTTCTCGTAAATAGTTACCCACCTCTTCGAAGACCCAGATCATGCCGCGCTGCTCTTCGGACATCTCGCCTTCTGGAGTGCCGGATTCTTTGCTGTTATTGTAGGGTATGGCTGTCCACGCGCAGTCAGTAACCCGGTGATAGGCCTCGCAAGCCCACTCACAACGGGACAGACGCATGCCGCCTAGGACTCCGGTCAGTGCTCGTTCGACGGCGTAGCAAATTTCCCACCCTTTAGATGCCCCAGAATATCTTTGATAGCCAGCCAGATATGCACGGACGGCCTGCGTCCGAGGACAATTGCCGTCTTGATGTTGCGATGGTGGATCCACTGCTCGAAGGTTCGCCGTTCGGTAGGCCTTCGGGTCACCCATCCCAGGAGCGTCATTAAAAGGTCGGGACACCAGTGGTTGTCCGCAAAGGCCATGAGTGACCCCGCCCATTCAGCCGGCTAAGGTGATACGTGTTTCCTTACTGTGCGAGGCGGTCACTGGTCGAACACTCACCAGAATTTCCCTCTCGATGAGTTCCTGCGTTCCCGCCCATGTAAGATGACCGTCCAGCACAACGCGCAACGTTTCTGCGAGCGCGCGCAGTCTCGCCGTGTCCCAGCTCCCAGGAAGGTCGTCGCTGAGAATGTTGTCGGCACTCGCCGGCTCGTTTGTTCCGAGCCGCAACCGGAAGATCTTCAGCTGGTGGCGGAACTCTGGGAGCGTGTATTCACCGACCATAGTGTAGTGGAATGACGAAGTGGTGCACCGGTTTTCCCTTGTCCATTGCTATATAACTGAAGATTTCTGGTCTCACCTCATGGCCTGTCTCGGGTAGTGCACCGTCGGTGCACTGCCGTGTTCTCTCCGCTGCGTCGTGTACAGCACTGTCAAAGCCACGTGTTTGCTTTTAACACGTCTTCTATACATTGAGTAAATTCTCAGCGCTCCGTCCGAGTTCCCTCGGCATGCAAAGTGCTCTTGTGACTTACCTCCGTCTCGAGAATCGTTCTCAAGAAGACACCAGAATTTCTGTCAGGAGCTCGATGTACGTCGTCAGGGGCCGTGCACCAGTGGCGCATGCCCGGCGAGGGAGGCCTACGTGCGGAGACAGACCAGGACCTGTGCGGATCACCGCCGTGCACCAGTGGCGCACGCCGGACTGGGGTACACCCCAGTGCACAGACACGTATTCTGTTGTGCGGGGTATGTCCCGCCGCCGTGCACCAGTGGTGCACGGGCTCGGACCGAGGTCATTAATTTATTGAGTTATCTTGGCGGAATGTTGAATGATCACAGAGAATTGTGCACGCGCTGGAGTGAGGGCGGCATCACAACGCGTTGTCTGTGCGACATTGGCGCAGCGTGACAGAGCTCATCCATTGCTCTCCGTTCGCGTTGTCGCGTACGGACTTGCCAGTGCGGTGCACGGACGTGAATATTTCGTCCGCATAATGCAGTAAACCCGACCAGTCTCAGATAGGCAACTGCGAGCCGGAACCTATTATGATCAAATTAACTTAAGCACACAAACTCGGCCGCGGTGGTCAAGACGGCTGTGCATCAGTGGTTCACGGTGCACAGCGCGCGGCGCGCGGCCCCGACAATCCAGGTCCTTTCTACCCGCAAATATACGTATCAACATCGGCTAGCATTTACGACGCGAAGATACAGGACGGGCAGTGCGCAACAACGAGAATCGGTAGATAGCGGACGTCAAGTCGAGCTCTCAGATTCACCGTCACTGTCGGCTTCCGCGTTGTCATCGTCGCTCGAGTCGCTAATCTCGATGACCTGTTTAGAGCTCTCCGTCAACTACGCAAGTCAGACAATATAAGTTGCGTGCCATTGCATACCTCTAGCGAGCACCGATGTAGTAGCATCTGACAGACGAGGCATGGCGGCGTGCTGTTGTGCAGTATGCAGGGGACTTGAGATACGACCCTGCAACAGTAGCACCGTTTTTCTCCGCCCCGCTGTTGCATCAGTTAACACATGAGCATGCTGCGTTCTATCTCATCTATGTAGTGCACTTCATACCCGCTCGAAGACAAAGTCCATGCCGCGCGTCTCTTCAGGCTCGTTGTCCGCGGGATTGCCGTCCGCTTCGGGCTCGAGGTCGCGGTACTGAATGGCTGTCCACCTATCAGTCACCGCACGGTATTTTTCCTCAAGACACTTACGCCAGACCAGACGCCTGCCGCCTAGTACTCCGGTTAGTGCACGCTGTACGGGGATTCTGCTCCGCTCACCCTGTAGATATAGCAAGAGCTTCCGAATAATCTTCCAGTTCGTCTCGGACGGCTTGCGTCCGACAACGGTCCGCCACGGAATGTTGTGGTCTTGGATCCACTGCTGGAAGGTCCGCTGCTCGGTCGGCCCACGGGTCACCCAACCCACGGCCGCATTTACGAGGGACGGCAACCAGTAGTTCAGACCGAGGTTCCCGATGGACGTGACCCATTCGCCCGTCTGAGGTGTGGATTCGATCACTGTACTGTACAGCGGGATGGAGACTTACCATTGCTTCCCGCTCGAAGAGCTCTTGGATACCCGCCCATGTCAGATGCCCGTCCAGGATCATCTTCAGCGTATCCTCGAGCGCACCCAGTCTTAGCACATTCCAACTGTCCGGGAGGTCGTCGTAGAAGATTTTGTCCGCATCTTCTCGCTCGTTCGCCCCGAGCCGCAATCGGAAGATCTTGAGCTGAATGCGGAGCTCTGGGAGGGTGTACGCGCCGACCATAGTAGAGCGGAGGAGGATGAAAGTGTGCGGTTGCTGGCGAGCCGTCACCGTATAACTGGCTGACCTCGTGCCGCCTCATGGGCCGCTTGTGCGCTGCGGCATTCTCCGCCGACCACGTTATCACCCCTCTCGCGTGGTGCACTGCCGGTGCACTCCGTGTTTAGGCATGCCTCATGCACGACTTGTTTTGGGGTAGCATCCGCATTCAGCGTCTCTTACATACAGCGAGGGATTGCGGCGTGATAGACCGGTGCACATTCTGTTGCCGGTGCTCCATCGGTTGACCTCGTGCACCTGTGGGACTGGCACCGTCAGCGGGAATCTAAGCTGCGGCCACAGTGCACGTCTATGAACGGGTAGTCGGACATGCAGCTAATCCGCCCGCCAAGCCTCCAATAAAGGGTGTCCGCCATCCATGTGTGTTGCGGGCGGAGAGCGTCCGGCTCGCTCGACGGCGCGAGGGCTCCCGCCCTCGCGCCGCCGACCTCGCTCGCCGGCCGCTCTCGCCGGCAACACACATTGGAAGGCTTCCACCCTTTTATGTATTCTTGTCAGGCGTCGGAGCATTACCGCGAGCTCATGTATGGACCAAGCAGGCGATAAGCAATCATGCTGGGACTGTAGCGAGGAGCTGAGGGCACGCTGCGGAGGCCTGTGCACCAGTGGCGCACACCGGACGAGGGCAGTCAGTGGATGCCGAGCCAGAGCGCAACGGGTTCGGCCCACTGCCGTGCACCACTGGCGCACACCTGACAGGTGGACATCTATGCCGAGCCGAGCACAAAGGTCTGGCTCACCGCCGTGCACCACTGGCGCACACCGGGCCACGGTGCACCGTAGACTACTGAAGCAGGCGGGGCATGCTCCGCCGTTGTGCACCACTGGTGCATGCCTAATGAGCAGACGCGGACGGACTGTACTGCATGAGGACATGGCCACGTCGCTGTGCACCACCGGCGCATGCTCAGGGAGTGCCCTGGTGTCCAGTACAACAGCGGAAAGACGTGCCTCCGCCGCAGTGCACCACCGGCGCATGCTCCGTTAGCAGGAGGACCTGATACAGCCTCTGCGAGCTGAGGGCACATTGCGGAGGGCTGTGCACCGATGGCGCACACCGGACGAGGGAAGGCAGTGTGTGCCGAGCCCGAGCGCAACGGGTCTGGCCCACTGCCGTGCACCACTGGCGCACACCGGGCCACGGTGCGCCGTAGTGGACAGAGACAACCGATATGCGCGAGCGCATGTTCCGCTGTCGTGCACCCCGCTGTCGTGCACCCCGCTGTCGTGCACCACTGGGGAATGCATAATGAGCAGAAGCGGCCGGTCTGTACTACGTGAGGAGAAGGCCGCGTTGCCGTGCACCACTGGCGCATGCTCAGAGGAAGGCCCTGGTGTTCAGTGTAATGGCGGACAGACGTGCCTCCGCCGCCGTGCACCATCGGCGCATGATCCATTAGCAGGAGGGCCCAAGACAGCCTCTGCAAAGCACAACGGACATGGCCCCGCCGCCGTGCACCACTGGCGCATTGGTGTGAATAAAAATGCAAGTGCCCGGTGTACTCTTTCTGCGCGAGAGACACGGCCCGGCCACCGTGCACCATTGGCGCATGCGGTGTCAATGAGAATTCTGGTGCACTGCATTGTCCGTGCACAAAGACACGGCCCGGCCACCATGCACCACTGGCGCAGGCTTCGCTATTGTGTAACGCCAGTGCCCGGTGTAACTTTTCTGCGCAAGAGACACGGCCCGGCCACCGTGCACCATTGGCGCATGCGGTGTCAATGTGAATTCTGGTGCACTTCATTTTCCGTGCACAAAGACATGGCCCGGCCGCCGTGCACCATTGGCGCATGCGGTGTCAATGAGAATTCCAGTGCCCGGTGTACTCTTTCTGCGCGAGAGACACGGCCCGGCCACCGTGCACCATTGGCGCATGCGGTGTCAATGAGAATTCTGGTGCACTGCATTGTCCGTGCACAAAGACACGGCCCGGCCACCATGCACCACTGGCGCAGGCTTCGCTATTGTGTAACGCCAGTGCCCGGTGTAACTTTTCTGCGCAAGAGACACGGCCCGGCCACCGTGCACCATTGGCGCATGCGGTGTCAATGTGAATTCTGGTGCACTTCATTTTCCGTGCACAAAGACATGGCCCGGCCGCCGTGCACCATTGGCGCATGCGGTGTCAATGAGAATTCCAGTGCCCGGTGTACTCTTTCTGCGCGAGAGACACGGCCCGGCCACCGTGCACCATTGGCGCATGCGGTGTCAATGAGAATTCTGGTGCACTGCATTTTCCGTGCACAAAGACACGGCCCGGCCGCCATGCACCACTGGCGCAGGCTTCGCTATTGTGAATGCCAGTGCCCGGTGTACTCTTTTTGCGCGAGAGACACGGCCCCGCCACCGTGCACCACTGGCGCATAATTCACTACTGACAGTCGGAGCGGAGGGCTGTCTGTGCATGTCATCCCGTAGATTGTGTGCGTATTCCGTCGTATGCACTACCTTTGTTGTACTTTTCCAGGCTTCCCTGAGGGTTCTAAGACTCGTAGGCAGATGTTCCGTGCTCAGAAGTGCCGTGAGCATTGTATGCCGTGCGCCAGTGAACTTGAACAGTGTCGATTGCAGTGAGGATGCAAGTTCTGTGTTTAATGCGCCAAAGATGTGCATTTATTCCATGAGTATATGTACTCCGGTGCACCGTTTCCTGCGCCATGGCCTGTAATTTCTGTGTGTAGGGGACTTTCCTAGACTTTCCTACGTCCAAAATGTGTCCAATTTCCCCATAACCGCCTCAGAGGCTCGTTGGTCCTGTAGCGAGTGAGCGCGTCACAGAGAAAGACAGAAATACAACATGACTTACCGTGAGCGAGCAGTTGACCTTCCTCCTCATACAGCGGTGACAGCACGTCTTTGCGAAGGGCACCCTACACTCATCTCGCCCGTCATTCACACACCGCTTGCACCGCGCGGCCTCGACCAGCTTACAAGTCAGTAAGCATTGGCTGCGATTGAGATAAAAAAGGAACCCACGTACCACGGTGTTTCGCACTCACAGAGGTCATCTTGCGTGCACCTACCTTACGCGCACACAATCTCCGTGTCGGCTGTCTTCATGCGCAGGTACGCACATCACGCAGGTACGCACATCACCCCAGGGCGCGGTGGGCTTGCTGGATGTAAAAGAGAGGGAGGCAGGAGGCAGGAGAGGCGGGAGATGGTGGTTGTGGGCAGGACATCGTGTGAGCGCCCGTCGGTGGCTGAGCAGGTGGCTGACGTGATCTCGCCTGCCCTGTCACTGCACATCACTGACGCACAACACGGAATGGACGCCGCATGCGGAGGGTGTAATGGATGATGTGGTACACCACAGATGCATGCCCTCTGTGCACCAGGGCACACGAGCAAGTCGGTGCCTCTGAGATCGGGCGGGCGCTCGGACTTGCCAAACAAGGCAATGGATGTGCGGACTCATCCGCAATCGCGCCATGGCGCGATTGCGGGTAAGGGTGACTGGCAGAAGGCAGTCGCAGACTCAAACGGAGACTGCATGTTACCCGCGTTCGCGCCATGACGCGAACGCGGGTAAGAGTACCTCGCATCCGCAGTCGCGCCATGGCGCGAACGCGGGTAACATGCACGCTGAGATTCATGCTACGAGGGTGAGACGTTTAATGCTCAGAACGTGAAAATGCCTTCCTCACCCATCCTCACCCCATCCTCACCCTAAGGATTGGTCAAAAAGCCCCTATAATGTCAGATTCTCGTGGCCTTGGACGAGTGGATGAACGACAACAACACGGTGGAATTCCAGAAGAAGGTGTACGCCCCAGCGTAGGCCACATATTACAGTCATCTCACAGGATAGTTCTGATACTCAATAGGTACGATCGCCTGCTGTCTGGCGTGGAGATGATCCGTCGGTTGGCCAATCCGAACAACAAGGACTATGACGAGGGCTGGGAAAACCTCTCGGAGTCCCTGAACGCCAGTCTGTCCAAGAACATCAGGTAGGCGGCTGACTTTATTTGATTACATTTCTAACAATCGTTCAGGGTGTTCGCTGGGCTTCGGGTGGATTCGCAGAGTGGGCAAGGCGAGGAGAAGTCCAATGCGGACCTAGACCCTCTCATCAACGCTGGGAAGGTGAAGGCTAGGTGGCGGTCGAGGGGTGGTGCTCCCGACAACGCTCAGGCTGGGCCGTCCAATGCTGCGTCCAAGGATAAGGCCTAGGTGCGTGGGTTATCTCATCAGTAGGTTGCAAGACTGAGCTATCCACAGGGCTCTGATGTTGGAGGGTCGCTTGTAAGATACTGTCTTTCCCCTCTCTCCTCATCTTTGCTGGCATCGTCTTCGCTGGCATCATCCTCACACCTATCGTCTTCGCTGGCGTCATCCTCACGCCTATCATCTCCGCTGGCGTTATTGTTCTCTGTTGTTGTACCGCTCTCCGCTGCCCTCCAATGATATCCAGCCCCCTCACGTTGTATCCATGTCCACCGCATTCGCATACCCGTCGTGTAGGATTGCCGCTGTGTACCGTCGCCCATCACGCCCATGTACGAAATTGATATATTTATGACAGCTAATTCATGAATGTGCGTTATCCGGGCTGGTAAATAAATTGAGGAATAACAACCCTGAGGGAACGGCGGCCCTGAAACCGTGTGCTTTGAATCAAATGAGAGAGAACAGGAAAGTCATTAAACATATTTTGGCAATCCTCTGAAGACATTTCAATCATACCAAACTCAAATGTTCCCCCTGGAAAGCACTGCTATGGATGTATTCATAGTAAAGACCAAACCATAGCAATTTGATTCAAGCAAACGAGGCAATCTTGCAACAGGTTTGATATATTTTTGACACCTTTAAACAGGGGTACTTGTATTGAGTCATGTTTGAACGGTTTGACCGCTTCAAACCGGTTTGGCTATCTTCAAATCAATTCTAAGAGCTCCTGCCCTGCGGGCGGTTTTTCCTGATGTGATGTGGCGAGGCTGGAGGCACTGCCATATCCGGCGAGGAACCATACGGGACGTCCATCACGGGACCTGATGGCATCGGGCGCCCTGCCTCGCTAGCAGGGGCCAAGCGCTCGCACGGGACGTACCTGGAATAGCCGGAGGGCCCAGGGACTCGTTTGATAAGTCCCAGATTTAACGCAGTGTTTAACGCAGTGTAAGGCGATCGGTGTGGACGAAGCCTAACTAGGGCGATCACATGCTATCATGTGTCAAGCCTAATTGATGGCATAGTGTGGGAAGCGCAGGTGCGCCGCCCCGCCGGGTCGTGTAAATCGGTCACAGGTCACACCCCCATCCGGGTTGTGGTGACGCCTACAGTACATACAATTGAACTACAGTTATGTACTCGAGCCGGTGGGCACGTACGAAGAATGTGCGAGAATAGACTACAGATGTACATATTCACACAATGGGCATATGGTGGGCACACATAACGGCGCCGGCGGGCTGACGAGTAGAGGCATGTGCTCGCAAGCGCACGCACGAACGGAACGAGGACACGGCGAGCAGGCTGAACGGTGGAAGGAGTAAAGGGCGAGGAGACGAACGGACAGCAAAGCGGACAGACGAAAGCACGAGAGGAGGAGCTCACTCTTCCATCCATCCGCTCGCTATTCCGTCCATCCGCTGCATCTTCAGTCCCCCCGCTCGACTGCCCGTCTCCTCGCCCGCTGTCTTCTTGCCGGCCTGTCATCCAACCCGCATGGCTTCTCGCCCGTGCGTTTGCTCGCCCGCCCGGCATTCGAGCATCTCTACCTGTTGTTCGGCGATGCTCGCCCTGTCGCCACGCGTCCCCCCTACTCTCACACCTCCTCTCGCCACGTCATTCACCAGTCAGCCTGTCCTCGTACGGCCGCGGTAGGGCTGGACGGCGGTGACGTGGCAGAGCGGGCTGTTCGACACGAGCAGACGAACCCGCTCTTGTGCGGGGTCATCTGACAGGCACTGCGCCTGCTCGGAGCACAGTGCGTGCGTCCAAGAGATGGTAGGAGGTGGGGGTGGGCGGCGAAGCCGTTAGCAAATCAAACGACGACCCCACTCTTATGCGGGGTCGTCTTGTGTACGTACGTCGTGCTCGGCCTTGTCTGGTGCATCGGAGACGGTAGAGGGCGGCGCGGCAATGTAAGAGGGCTGTGACGTGGCGGGGAGTGTCCGAGTTCACGACCAGACGACCTGTTGTTGTGCGGGGGCGCCTGGCGCGCGCGGTAGGTCGTCGGCGCGCATTGGACGTGTTGACGGGCGCTGACTGGGAAGGCAGGGGCACACGAATAGATGACCCCGCTCTTCCGCAGGGTCGTCATAGGTGCGTGCGTCGACTTCGGCACGCGTATGGTGCGTCCGAGGGAAGTAGAGGGCGGCGCAGCGAGGTAGCGGGGCCGTGGTAGGGCGAGACGGTGATGCGTGGCGGGGAGGGCCTAACGAGGTGAGCAGACGGCCGCGCTCTTCTACGGGGTCGTCTTATGTGGGGAAGTTGGCCCCGGCACGCGTGTGGTGCCTCGCAGAGGCACAGAGGGCGGGGCGCCGAGGTAGTGGGGCTGTGGTCAGAAAGGCGGAGACGTGGCGGGGGCCGCAGTGGTAGCTTTTCAGTGTGCTTGGACGTGTTTTTGTCGCTTGTCCACTCGCAATATGAACAAACTTCTTACGACTTGAATGTGTTGATGGTGACCTTCAACACGAGCATCCATCCAGACCTACGCAACGTAGACACGAGCACAGATGCACTTACCGAAGTGAGATGTACTCGGGCGTACCGGTACGAACTTCGCACGGCGGAACACGACTGCATCCTGCAGCCCGGATCGTCGGGGCGTAGTAGAAAGTCCCAAGACATCCCAGCCCCGATTTCGCTCGCGGCGGGGTCATGTTTTCCAGAGGAAGTGTCCATGCAGCGCAACGAAGTCCTAGGTGTCCAGCAGTCACCTTGCGTCTTGACCGATAGATCGAACCGTGCAAGGACAATCATTGACACCGCCTGCGCGGAACGTCTCGACGGAAGTGCAGGGGCTCGATACATCGACGTGCGTCCGCAATAACCATATCGCAATACGACGAACGAAGTGTTTAATGGTCATCCACGGATACAGTAGACGCAGCGAGAAGGAACATGACAGACAGACCGCAGACCGCGGTGCAGCATCTTATGAGCCGGCGAGCAATAGCGACTCCGAGACAGACAAAAGTATGACGGCATGGGAAACGCACTGGTGCCGCCCTATGGCGATGATATTGTTGGAGATCGCGGCGTCGGCGAGCGTAAGGACGTCTCCGACGACTGTTACTCTGTTGACAAAGAGCAGCTGCGGTTTGCCTAACTAAGTTTCCGCGGTGAGCGACTCGATCCATAGCTTGCCCATACCACCTCAATACGCTCTCGCTGCACATTCTTCGGACTGACTGACTTCAATTTGGACCCCTTCGCGGAAAGTGCAGCCGAGTGCATTCACGATTCAGGGTGGCTGGGGTATTGCAGTAGTAGCAGAGCACAGCAAGACGAGATGTGAACATCGTTGCGCTCGACGTCGTCGCCGATGAGCAGAGGCGGCGAGGATAGCGGCGTCGGTGAGAGCGTCGGCCTGAGTCGGGCGTGACGTGGCGAGAGCGTGACGTGACGAGGGACGTTACTGCGTGATTCTAGACTGTTCCGTGACAAATTGCTCAAAAAGTGCTGGCCGACGTCGACCGCGTTCTCTCACCGTCCTCCTGCTCGCTGTCGCCCCCGTCCCCGCCGCCTCCCTGCTCATCGTTCTGCGTGTGGAAAGCAATGCACCACTTCTCTCAGACGTCCTCTGCTGCGCTCCGCCGCGCCGCCGCAAAGGCGGCCAAGCCTTCGCTGGCTCGCGGCGCGCACAAGGAGATCAAGTTCTCGAACGAAGGTCGCGCTAGCATTCTCAAGGGCGTCGACGTGCTCGCGGACGCCGTCAGCGTCACCCTCGGTCCCAAGGGTACGTAGCCTCGCCAGCTGGCCGGAAGTGACACGCTCACCGTCTGCAGGTCGCAACGTCATCATCGAGCAGTCGTTCGGCGGCCCGAAGATTACCAAGGGTATGTCGCCTTACCTTGCCTCTACCGTGCCCGTGCTCACATACCCGCAGATGGTGTCACGGTCGCAAAGTCGATACAGCTCAAAGACAAGTTTGAGAACCTCGGCGCTCGGTGAGTCGGCTCCGCGCCTTCCTTCTCAGCGTCCCGCTGACCCCGCCTCGCAGCCTCGTCCAGGACGTCGCGTCCAAGACGAACGAGATGGCTGGTGATGGCACGACCACCGCCACCGTCCTCGCGCGCGCCATTTATGCGGAGGGTGTCAAGAACGTCGCCGCTGGGTGCAACCCTATGGACCTCCGCCGCGGCTCCCAGGCCGCCGTCGACCGTGTCGTCGAGTTTCTCTCCTCCCACGCAAAGACCATCACCACCACCGCCGAGATTGCTCAGGTTGCGACCATCTCCGCTAACGGCGATGCCCACGTCGGCAACCTCATCGCCCAGGCCATGGAGAAGGTCGGCAAGGAGGGTGTTATCACCGTCAAGGAGGGCCGCACCATCGACGACGAGATTGAGATCACGGAGGGCATGCGTTTCGACCGCGGCTTCATCTCTCCTTACTTCGTCACCGACGTCAAGTCCCAGAAGGCCGATTTCGAGAAGCCCCTCGTTCTCCTCAGCGAATCTAAGATCAGCCGCCTCCAGGACATCCTTCCGGCCCTCGAGGCTGCTGTCCAGGCGCGTCGCCCGCTGCTTATCATCGCGGAGGACGTCGACGGTGAGGCCCTCGCCGCGTGTCTCGTCAACAAGCTCCGTGGCCAGGTGCAGGTCTGTGCCGTCAAGGCCCCCGGCTTCGGCGACAACCGCAAGTCCATCCTCGGCGACCTTGCTATCCTCACCGGCGGCCAGGTCGTTACTAACGAGCTCGACATGAAGCTCGAGCAGCTCACGCCCGACATGCTCGGCTCTTCCGGCTCGATCACCATCACCAAGGAAGATACGATCGTCCTTAACGGTGAAGGCTCCAAGGACGCGATCCAGCAACGCTGCGAGCAGATCCGCGCGCTGATTGCGGACTCGACAACGAGCGAGTACGACCGCACGAAGCTCCAGGAGCGCCTCGCGAAGCTATCGGGCGGTGTTGCGGTCATCAAGGTCGGCGGTTCGTCCGAGGTCGAGGTTAGCGAGAAGAAGGACCGGTACGACGATGCGCTCAACGCGACGCGCGCAGCTGTCGAGGAGGGCATCCTCCCCGGCGGTGGTGTCGCGCTCCTGAAGGCGTCCCTCGCGCTCGCGAGCAAGGCGCCTGGTTCGCAGGCGGTGTCGTCGCCGGACGTGAAGCTGATCCCGACGGCGAACTTTGATCAGGACCTGGGCGTGTCGATCATCAAGCGGGCGCTGTCCCACCCGGCGCGGACGATCCTGAAGAACGCGGGCGAGGAGAGCTCCGTGCTTGTTGGCACGATGGTGCAGCTGTACGGCGCGGAAGACAAGTTCGCGTGGGGCTACGACGCGAGCAAGGGTGAGTGGGTGGACATGATCAAAGCAGGCATCGTCGACCCGCTCAAGGTCGTCCGGACCGCACTTGTCGACGCCGCGGGTGTCGCGAGCCTGCTGACGACGAGCGAGGCGTGCATCGTCGAGGCACCGGAGGAGAAGCCGGCACCGCCTGCGGGTGGCATGGGCGGCATGGGTGGTATGGGAGGCATGGGCTTCTGAGCGGGCTGTGGGCGCGGAAGCGAAGAAAAAAGTATCATGCTCAGTGTTTAATGTCGGTTCTCAGCATCATCACATCCACGTCGTGTTCGGTTGCGCATATAGCTCTCTCATCTCATCGTCTCGTGTCGCGTGTTGTGTAGTACGTTCGTATAATCTGCTCTCGGTCATGCATGCTCGGAAATGACACACTCCCCACTCTGCTTCATACGCTGTCTTGCGAATGTGATGAACGACTACATCTGATTCTCTGTGCTAATCGTGCGTTCGCCCGTTCTCCTCTGCGCATGCGGCCTGTGTTCGGTATGCCCTGTTGCCGAATCGCCTGGCGGCCCAAGTGGCGGGCCACTTCGAAGGTGTTCCCGCCAATCCGTTCGACGCCGACTTCCTTGGATCGTATAGCAAGCTTTTGAACGCGCAGCTTCTCCGGACACCGTCTTCCCTGTCGTTCCCCAGCTTTGCTTGCTCCGTTCGCGCGAATCTGCAGACTTCCTGTGGTGTTCGCGGTTGTTTTCGAAGACAGACCCGTCTTCGTATTGGAGGTCAACTCGCCCAGAGATCTCCGCTACATTTCCACACGTGAGGCGAGGCGTCCGACCGATGGACCCGAGTTCGCATAAGGGTTATGCATGGTTCGTCGTCATCTTAGTGGGTAGTCATTATTGCAGAGATGTTTAACGGCTTTGTCGTCACACAGGCGAGTGTCCTCTTGCCGTTCTGCACGCCTTTACTGCGATGGACGAGATTAGGCTTTTAGCAGAGGCCGCGAGCTGGCCCCGTGTCTCGGCTTACTTTCGAGGTGGACACGGCGCCAAGCGAAAGCTAGGACTGGTGTTCTCGAGGAGGGCGGGATGCAGAAGCTACAAGCCGCCGTCGGTCAGATAAAGCGGCGACGGACGGTATGTTCTAGCTTCCTCCTAACTGAGTGGATCCATCTACTGAGTGGTTGATGACGTGCAGGTGCTTGAATTCGAAACGGATTGTTCACTAGCTACGTATGTCCTGCGTGGTACGTTCCCGAAGTACGTTTGCGGGCCTGCATGCCTCGGAACAAACCCGATCCATACACCTGAACATCGCATTGAGGGGGAAGATCGAGGTCACGGTCGATCGAGGTGAATACCATTTTCCCGGTCAAACACATAACACTTCCGCGTTCCGGTGCTGACGACAACGTTTACACCCCTTTTCTTCTACCGTCATTTGGCGGGTTTATCTCCACAGTGCCCAGCACCCGCTTCGCTCCGCCTCGTTCTGCGATGCATGACTCGGATGCTGATTCCGGCTCTCGACAGCCAATCCCCGGCTCAGACGATACCACCTCTTGGGACGCCAGTCAGCCACCATCCGTCGCGCAGCCTCATAACCCCTCTGGCCCTGAGCACAGTGGCTCGCTCTCTTTGGACTGCGGCTCTCCTGGCGACACTTTTGTTGAACTATTTCAAACTGAACGGGCCGTTCACGAGGGAGACGAACCGATGGCGCTGCTTCAGAGTCCCGGCCGTCTTCAAGCTCCCCTGGGCACGGAGCCCATCCCACTAGAGTTCTGGGGTGTCATCGACGCTTCCGACTTGTCCGACTTGTCACTGGCGGACCGAACGATTTCTTCATCGACTGCTTCAAAGCCATCTGGGATATCGGGGAAGAATAGCTCACTCATGGGTGCCACGAGTTTGTGAAGAAGGTATCATACCGTTGACGATTCCTTCGTGTGTCATCTGATACAAATACTGTGACAGGAACTCCACGAAGTCGACCATCATCGACGCTCGCCGGCTTGTATGGTCTGCAACGGAGACTAACCATCATCAGTATCTGCTATTGCAGGACAAGTTCAACTCGATTTGGGACATGGAGGGAGTGCCCGACGAGGATAATCTTGGACTTTGGCTTGCGTTTCTTCAGGGTGTTTCGTGAGTTCGCTCGTTACGTATCTCGATGATTGAGAATACCCACTGTCCATCAGTGTGGATTACTTCCAGAAGGGCCGTGTGCTTACCGTGCAAGCCCCTACCATCGCGGAGGACACTACCAAACACATTGCCGCTTATATGGCCGGCTTTCTGCGTCGGAGTGCCGGAATGATTTGGTACAAGAGGAGGGCTTTCGTGCCCAAGATGGTCATGATGCAAGGCACGGACTGGACATTCAGCATGAAGAACAGTGTCGTTCGAAGGGACTACGAGAACGACGTGGCGGGCACGGAGGTCTTTCTTTGTGTCGTAACGGATACTCGGGCGGAGTCCACGTATCAAGTGCGCAAGGTGTGTTTTCTCACTACAGTCCAGTCGATACGTTGTTCACATCTCCTTCAGATTGCGGCAATTCTTGGAAGGCACGATCTACTGCATGACTTCATGATAGCGCTTGTTGGCAAAGCCCCTTCGAACTTGGACCAGGGCCTGCACTTCAAGGTTGCCGGCGCGAACTCTGATTCGGACCTTCCCGCCGTCGAGGTGTGTGTTCTGTCGTATGAACGCAAGGAGTTCGACCAGTTCGAGACGAGAGCACGCGATGCAACCTGCGTGGAGGACTGAGAAAAGGAGACTTTGAACTCTATGGTACGAGGCATGTTTGTTCACAAAGCATATATTCCGATGTTCATTGCGTTGTAGCGTATGACTTACCTCAGCCCCTCCATCGACATCTGCCCGCAGGACGGTATTGAACATTTCCGTTCGCGTTTGTGTTCCATTGCTCGATCCTACAACTCCGCATTCCCTCCTCACTCACTGCCGCAAATCTGGGGAGAACTGCCGCAAATCCACGACGATATACGGGAACCCATGGATAGGATCAGCGCCGAAGCATCCTCCCAGGTCATGGACATTCTGGACCAGGCAGCTCGCCAGCTGGGGATACGTATCCTCGCCCGTCGTCGGGGATGGGGGAAGCTGTCGTTGATGAGTCTGTCGTTGTCTCATTACATCTGATCGCATGCGCGAATTTGTTTCATAGCCTTGTGCAATGTTGTAGTCGAACCGAGTGAATGATGAAAATGTTGCGAGTTCATTGTCGGTCCCGGTCCGCCGTCTGTGACAGTGGCGCCCTACGGCGTGTACTCAGTGTCAGTTAAGTGCAGCAGCCGCAATACACGTCACAGCGGACGGTATGTGCCTTCGAATCGTCTCTCTGATACATACCAACATCGTGCCCATCGAAGACCCACGCGACGAGATGCGGTAGCCCAGGAGAGGGTGGGCCACTGAGTGTCGAGGGATCCCAGCGACCGGCGGAGCCAACTGTGTGTGACGGCGTGGTGTTGTTGGACCGACGCAGCCTCAGTGTGCCGGCCTAGGTGGGACACCCAAGAAAGTGGACATGTCGACAGAGCATACGGCGGAATTACTGAGAGAAGCGTAGAACATGCACTGTGTGGAAGCCCAGGAGAGGGCCCGGGCGAGCCCCTCGGAGTTGAGCTTGAGACCAGTGGAACCAAGTGTGACACGGTGTTATTGGATCAACGCGGTCTTGAGAGTGAACGTTTGAACCCGCGACGGTCGACAGGTGTGCTTACGATGCGGAGCATAGAATCGCGGTATGGTACGTGTATTGGGAGGCGGTCAGGACTGGGTGGATCGCCGAGACCAAGGCGGACGAGTGACCGAAACGGGGAGCACGGTCGTCGCGATGGCGGCCCTAGGTACCTTGCTATGGGACGACAGAAGCATTGCGGACGCGCGAGGTATGGCATACATATCATATAGTTGAGGCGGTCAGCTTGACAATCGGTACATACATTCATGTGCATCAGTATTCCGTCGCATACATTACCTGCCGGGACAGAACATCCCCTTCGCGTCCGGAGTCAGCGTTACTGACTCGCAGTACGTGTCTCCACTGTAGATATATCATCCTCTGGTCGGGTGGAAAAGACTTTGATAGTGAAAAACGTACTTTGTGACTCTCCCACAGCATAGAAGCAAATTGGAAAGACGACGACGTTAAGACGTCGAAGGACGCCTTTCGAGTCTCGGGCAGACAAAAGCCTGAGACTTTCCTAGACCACGAATCACGCTCTGCAGTCCACTTCCCCTGCCCGCGAAGCAATCTGAGTTAAGTTAAAGAGCGTTCATTATGCCGCGACCCTTGTCGTTGGAGGAAACGACGGGCTCCTCTTTATAGAGAAACACTATCACGTCGCCGAGGCCGTCGATCATCGGGTGGAAGCGTATGCACAACCGCAGCGGACAACCGTAGGCGGCCCGCGAACACGTCCTTCTGCCGCCCACCTCACCACAGAGCTCCCTGTGCGCCCGACAGTCGACGTGTCTCTTCCTGCACAACCAATGCAGGGATGTTGAAGCGATGTATGACGTCACGGCGTGCTCTCGAGCGTGTTGTCGCGCGTGTCAGGTCGCTGCTATCCACGCAGAGAATGCTTACATACCGACGATAGTGTACATACATTATACATACAACCACACTTCGAAACGACTTCCGTTTGTCTTGTTCACTTGCCAGCCACCGTAGGCGTCGTCCGCCCAGCTACCGCTCACGCCGCGGCGACCTGCACGCACACTTTCCCGACGTGCTGCTGGCTCTCCAGATACTCGTACGCCGCCCGCGTCTCGTCGAACGCGAACACCTTGTCCACGACGGGCTTCAGCCCCGTCGTGTCGATCAGCCGCACAAGCGCCTCAAACCTACAAACCGGACGCGTGAACTGCGGAGCGCGGAGGGGGCGACGGAGGACGTACTGCGTGCGCGAGCCGATGAGAATGCCCCGAACGAGCGCGCCCCTGCCCAGAATGATGCCAGGCAGGCTCGAGATGTCGCCGGCCTTTGTGAGAGTAAGCATCAGACTCCGCAGATGCGAATGGCAGGCGTACCCCTGCGACGAACCCGATCACGCTGACCGTCCCCGCAATCCGCGTGCTCGCGAGCGACTTGTTGATCGTGCCTGCCCCGCCCACCTCAATAACGTGGTCCACGCCGCGCCCGCCTGTCTGCCCACACTGTCAACACACGAGCGGCCACGGCGTACGACTCACAATCCGCAGAACCTCCTTCTCCCAGTCCGGCGTCTTCTTGTAGTTGATGACGTGCTTCGCGCCGAGCTTCTTCGCGACCGCGAGCTTGTTGTCGGAGGACGAGGTCGCGATGACCGTCGCGCCGCTTGCGATGGCGATCTGGAGGCCGAAGATGGACACGCCGCCGGTGCCGAGGACGAGGACGATGTCGCCGCCCTTGAGCGGGTTCGCGCCCAGGAGCGCGTTGTACGCGGTCACTGCGGCGCATCTGCGTGTGGCGTTGGAAGGGGCGTGTGTAAAAACGGACAGTGTACTTACGGGAGGGTCGAGGCCTCGATGTACGACCAGCCGTCCGGGATCCTGACGAGAGACTGCTTCGAGTGAGGATCGCGCGCATAGAGAAGGGCGAGTCACGTACGTGCGCGGGCAGGATCTTGTACTCGGTGAGGACGCCGTCGATGGGTCCGCCGAGGCCGCTGAGGATGATCTGCTGGGAGGCGTCGCCAAAGATGTGGTCGACGGAGAAGTTGGCGCAGATCTTGTCGCCGACGGCCCAGTCCTTGACGTCGTCGCCGACGGCGAGAATCTGGCCGGCCATGTCTGAGCCCGGGACGACATTGTCCTTCTGGCCAAGGGCGTACTGGCCCTTCGCGACGACGAGGTCGCGGAACTGGGTAACGGAAGCATGTCAGGGTTCAGATCTGCGATGGAGAGAGACTGAATTGAGGAACAGACCTGGAGGGAGACAGCGTGAACTTTGACGAGGACCTCGGTGGACCTGGGCGGATGGATGGAAGCCTCGGTGAGTGTCAGGTTGTGGAAGCCGTCCGCCTGTGCGCGCGTCAGCACTCGAGGTCTTGCTCACCAGATGCGAGCGACGCACCTTGGGGAGACGATACTCGCGGGTGGTGCTCGGGATGGGCATCGTGGGCGGGCTGTGGATCGAGAGACGGGGGATAGCTGTGGGAAAGAGAGGACGGCGCAGGTTTTTAAAAGGCTTCAGATCGACAGGGCGAGGTGCTTTGTCGGATCTTGAGAAGCGGGAGTGGTCCACTGTGCCAGCGATCCTCCGTGGGTGACAACATGTTCTTCCTCTCACCAATCACCGGCCCGGCCCGTCTGTCCGCCTCACTCCCCGTCGAGAGCAGCGACCTCGGGCCATCGAGAATGCGACAGACCACACCCGAGAACGTGTCGTGATGTCATGCATCGCTTCACCGTCCCTAGGTTGACAAGATGCGCGCAAAGAAGAGCTGCGCCGGTCGTCGAGTGCACAAGGAGCTCTGTGGCGAGATGGGTTGGGCAGCACCTTGCAGGTCTAGACGGACGTGTTCGTGAGCAGACAGTCGCACAGCGCCTACTAACGTCTTGCTCGTACCGGGCGTATGCTTCCACCCGGTGATCGGCGGCGCGGTCGTGTTTCTCTGTAATGAACACTGCGAGGAAACCGTTGTTTCCTCCAAGGGCAAGAGTCGCGGTGGCCAGTCCCTGGGTCGGACTGCGCGCGTGCAGCTAACCATTCACCAGAGAAGCCCCGGCCAAAGAGGCGGAGTGTATCCAGATCACCGAGAGCTCGCTCCGCAAGATCAGTGTCGTCCCGGAAGCTAATAGAAGGTGTGACCAAGGTGACTCAGTCGGTCGGGCTGAGTCTGCAAATGCGAAACGTCACGTACGCGAACGAGGATATGGGGCGGGGCACGACAGACGAAGCAAACACCACCACGGAGACGAGATATGGACAGGCGCAGTTTGGACGGGGACTCGAGGTGGACCGGCAGGACGATGGTGTTTGAAGACAGGGCACGGATATGTCGGTATGAAACGTTCGGCGGCGCGTTCGCGGTATGAAACGTTCAGCGGGCAAACAAGGCTGGGCGTTGCGTTGGCGGCGGCGGGAAGGTAAGCAAGAGAGCGACGCCGTCGGGATGGTCATGAATGCACTCACCGACCGGTGCACTCGCTGTCACTGTAGCGGGGGAAGCCTTCCCACCCTTCCGCAGTGACTGTACCAGCTCCGGCAGAGGCGGACTGCGACCTCCGAGTTGACGAAACTGGAGCACACATGGGGTTACGTGTGGCAGCCTGCACCCACTGGCCCTGGACTCAACATGGAGGACGATTGCAGGAAGGCAGGTACGGTCCCGGAACGGGCCATGGGACCGAGGCTCGAGTCGACAGTGAGGGTACGGTGTCATCGTACACTGGCGTTGACATCACGGCGTGCTCTCGAGTACGTGAGGTCGCTGCTATAAACGCAGAGGATGCATACATACCGGCGATAGTGTACATACATTATACATACAACCCCACTTCAAGATGACTTCCGTTTGTCTTGTTCATCGGTCGGTCACCCTCATTCCGCCCGGCCGCCGCTCAGTCCTTCGCAACCTGCACGCACACCTTCCCGACGTGCTGCTGGCTCTCCAGATACTCGTACGCCGCCCGCGTCTCCTCGAACGCGAACACCTTGTCCACGACGGGCTTCAGCCCCGTCGTCTCGATCAGCCGCACGAGTGCCTCGAACCTACAATCCGAACCGCGTGAGCTGCGGGGCGCGGTGGAGATGGGGAGTCGGACGTACTGCGTGCGCGAGCCGATGAGGATGCCGCGGACGTGTACGCCCTTGCCCAGGATGATACCGGGCAGATTCGACATGTCGCCGGCCTGGCGGTGGTGAGCGAAGACCCGTAGATACGAATGAAATACGTACCCCCGCGACGAACCCGATCACGCTGACCGTCCCCGCATACCGCGTGCTCGCGAGCGACTTGTTGATCGTGCCCGGGCCGCCGACCTCGATGACGTGGTCCACGCCGCGCCCGCCCGTCTGCCCACAGCCGAGTCAGCCCACCTACGTACCCATATTCAGCGATCACTCACGATCCGGAGCACTTCTTGCTCCCAGTCCGGCGTCTTCTTGTAGTTGACGACGTGCTTCGCGCCGAGCTTCTTCGCGACCGCGAGCTTGTTGTCGGAGGACGAGGTCGCAATGACCGTCGCGCCGCTCGCGACGGCGATCTGGAGGCCGAAGATGGACACACCGCCGGTGCCGAGGACGAGGACGGTGTCGCCGCCCTTGAGCGGGTTCGCGCCCAGGAGCGCGTTGTATGCGGTCACCGCGGCGCACCTGTGTGGCGTTGAGTGCATGTAAAAAAGACAGACAGCAAGCCCGTTACGCGTCCACACCAACGAGGCACGCCGCCATAAAGTCCGAGACAGTGCTGGGGGCATGGCGAGGAACTCCCCGCGATCAATAAGCCAGATGACTGGACCCGAGGACATACCGCTTATGGTGGGCGGTACTCCATTGCCAGCAAACGAAACATCGGTAAGCACTCTCGCCCGGTGTGCACGCAGGGCCGGGTGGCGTCCGCTCGAGCTGAGAGGACTCCTCGCCGAGACATCGACGAGCTGCCACGGTAGGATCTTGCAGACTGCCGGTACTCATACGGCGAGTCGCGCCGCCGCCCCACTCCGATGCCCGTGTGTGCACTTCGCAAGAGTGCGCATCGATATCTCGTCTGCTGGAAGTTGGCCCTGGATGAGTGAACCCTACGGTGACCACAGAGTCATGCTTGGAAGCACGTTTCCGTGGATCGCATAGGCGGCTCCCGCTGCCAGACCCGGGGGCCTTGTCAACCGCCAGAGGCACCGATGAGCTACCACGGTAGGATTCAGCCGACTATCTATACTCGCATAGCGAGTCGCGCCGCCCCGCTCCGATACCCATGTGTGCACTTGGCAAGAGTGCGTATCGATAACTCGTTTGCTGGAAGTTGACTCCGGACAAGTGAGCCCTAAGGCGACCACAAACTCGTGCGGGGAAACACATTTCTCTGGATACCATAGGCGGCTCCCGCTGCCGGACCCAGGGGTTTTGCCAATTGCCAAGGTCCAAAGGGCCCTCCGAAAAACAAAAACTCCGCGACGAGACGGCCTCCCCAGACGACTAGACGCGGGGTCATACTCCTGCCCAGTCACTGAAGTTGACCCTGGATGTAAGCCCTGCAGCGACCACAGAGTCGTGCGTGGAAGTGCATTTCCCTGGATAGCATAGGTCGCTCCCGCTGCCAGACCCCGGGGCTTTGCCAATCACCGAGGTTCGTAAAGGGCCCTCCGCCCTCCGAAACACAAAAAGAAAAGAGAGACAGACGGCACTCACGGAAGCGTCGATGCCTCGATGTACGACCAGCCGTCCGGGATCCTAACCAGACACTAGGTCGCGTCAGCGTCAAGCGTCCATGCCGGCGTTTACAGTTGAACAGTGAAATATCAATAGACCGCTTCTCGCAGCGCGCGCGCGCTGAGATGAGCTGGGCCGCTAGCCTGGTGCAGGACCGACTCATCACGACCGTCGGGATGCTCTGTCTCTGGGATGATGGTGGAGGGTCCTCTTGCAAGCATCGCTTGGGACTCGGACAACTCCGCCCGACTGCTCATGGAGATACATCGCACGCGCCCCTCTCGGCTTCTGCGCGCGCGTCGCGCCGTGCGGTCTGAAGATATGCTACTGGCAGACATCGATCCGAAGAGCGAGGTACGTACGTGCGCAGGGAGGACCTTGTACTCTGTGAGGACGCCGTCGATGGGCCCGCCGAGGCCGGATTGCTTGATGTCCTCGGTGACGTCGCCGAAGATGTGGTCGACTGCGAAGTTGGCGCAGACCTTGTCGCCGACGGCCCAGTCTTTGACGTCTTCGCCGACTGCGAGGATCTCGCCGGCCATGTCTGAGCCGGGGACGACATTGTCCTTCTGGCCGAGGGGGTACTGGCCCTTTGCGATGATGAGGTCGCGGAACTAGCAGAGAGAGTTCAGATCGGCGGTGGAGACGGACTGAATGGGGCGTGACGTACCTGCAGGGACACGGCGTGAACCTTGACAAGGACTTCGGTCGATTTCGGCGGACGGATGGAAGCGTCGTTGAGCGCCAGGTTGTGGAAGCCGTCCGTCTGTGGGCGCGTCAACGCCAAACGTCAGATGGGTCAGATGCGAGCGACGCACCTTGGGGAGACGGTACTCGCGGGTGGTGGTGGGGATGGGCATCGTGGGCTAGTCGCAGAGAGCAGTAGAGACGGAGAAAGGGATGTGGGAAAGAGAGGACTGGCGCAGGCTTTAGAGGACACGGAGAGGTGCTTTGTCAGAAACGGGGGTGGGTGAACTGTACGAGCGATCGTCGGTGGGTGACGACATGTTCTCCTCTCACCAATCACCAGCCCGGCCCGTCCGTGCGCCTTGCCCCGGTCGATAGCAGCCTCCTCGAGAACGCGACAGCACACGCCGAAGGGCTTTCCGTGACGTCATGCGTCGCTGTGCTACGTTGACCGGCTGTGCACAAAGAAGAGCGGCGTCGATCGTCGGGCGCACCGGGGGCTCTGTGGTGAGATGGGCGCAGAAGCTGGCTGTGGGCAGAAGGTCGTCGTGAGCAGACAAGGATAGGGCGCCTACCGCTCTCCGCTCCCGTCGGGCATACACTTCCCGGCGATCGACGACCTCGGCCTGTTTCAACTGTTCTAACTCTGTAACGACGCTCGCACGCAAGTGGATCACACTCAGCAACACCAGACGCGATGATTCAGCGGAAAGGCTCTGTCATGGCAGCGCTCTCCTAGTACTACTGTGCGTAACGGAATACTTATGAATGCTGACACTGACGAACCGACATTACTACATACTTACCCTGCATGCCTCGTCAGCAAACTCGCAATATTGCTCTTGCCGTCGCGGTGCAGAGACCAACACCTGTGTTTCACCTGGGCTACGGCTTCAGGCCTCAGGGGTTTACGCACCCTGTGATCGACTCGGCGTGTTTCTCTGGACGCGGCCACATCTTTGACAAAATTACGGACGAGATCAAGCTCATCGGCCTCGGCGGGCCCATCGACGGCGTCCTCACCGAGTACAAGGTCTTACCCGCACACGTACGTGCCGCGACCGTGTCTACGCACACGGTCCTCATGCGGCGTAGGGTCTCGTCAGGATCCCGGATGGCTGGTCATACGTCGAGGCCTCGACGCTCCCGTAAGTACACAGTCGACTCCTACACGCACCGCTTCCAACGACGTGTGCAGATGTGCCGCAGTGACCGCGTACAACGCGCTCCTGGGCGCGAACCCGCTCAAGGGCGGTGACACTGTCCTCGTCCTCGGTACGGGCGGCGTCTCCATCTTCGGCCTCCAGATCGCGGTGGCAAGCGGCGCGACCGTCATCGCGACCTCGTCGTCCGACAATAAGCTAGAGGTTGCGAAGCAGCTCGGCGCGAAGCATGTCATTAACTACAAGAAGACGCCGGACTGGGAGGAGGAGGTCTTCCGGATCGTGAGTACGCGCGTGCTGGCTGTGGGTGCGTGGGTAGGCTGGCTCCGCTGCGGGTAGACGGGCGGGCGAGGCGTGGACCACGTCATCGACGTCGGCGGCGCGGGCACGATCAACAAGTCGCTCGCGAGCACGCGGTATGGCGGGACGGTCAGCGTGATCGGGTTTGTCGGCGGTGTAGGTAATCCACTCACTGTTGCTTGACCCCCAGGCTCGCGACATGGCGAACCTGCCTACACTGGGGACAAGACGCGTTGCTCGTCGCGCGAACATGTTACGGACATTCTACGACTTATGATAAATGTTCCCACGGTGTTCAGTCGCCGAACACTCGAGGATCATTGACAGTGACTGCCCCGTGTTCGAAGTCCCAAGCATTGCAACAGCATTATCATTGTCTGGACGATTAACCTGAGGTGTGTTCATGGTGTGTTCCATAAGAGTGCATAGACCAAACACTATGCATGATCCTCATCTGTAAGCCACATGTTCTGTGTCTGTACATGCCGAGTGTACACCGTCGTGATATGAAGCGAACATTGCAAGCACATGATAACTGTTCTTGCAATGTTCCGAGTATGACCACCGTGCATGTCTGGAGGTCAAACATGGTCACAACATTGTAAAAACATTGGTTCTTAATCATGTTCTTTCAATGATCACACATGTCCTTGGAATGTTAACTCCCCAAATCTTCAAAATGTCCGGTGCATGAACATGAGAACACAATGCTTCATGGTCATGGTATGTCGGCACAATGTTGTGCATACAAACATTGTGGTTGGTTTACACATGTCCTAATCGAGGTCACGCTATAAACATACCCTGTGACAGTACAATGTTTGCTCTCCGAACATGACATGCACATTTGGCATGTTCGAGTCGCAAACAGCAGTGCTGTCCATACAATGTTCTTTTCTCCGAACATCTGAGAGACACTTGGCATGGTCGTGCGATGTCCTGAGGAATAACATCGAGGGAAAATATGTCATAAGTCGGAAGATGTCCGTATAATGTTTGAACTCCGGTCAACGCGTCTTGCCCCCGGTGCTAGTATCGTCCTCAGGGGAGCCCTCGTCCGCGGCATCCTCATCGGCTCGCGCACGCAGTACGTCAGACTCCCCATCTCCACCGCGCCCCGCAGCTCACGCGTTCGGATCGTAGGTTCGAGGCGCTCGTGCGGCTGATCAACGCGACGGGGCTCAAGCCTGTCGTGGACAAGGTATCCCCGTTTGAGGAGACGCGCGGGGCGTACGAGCATCTGGAGAGCCGGCAGCACGTCGGGAAGGTGTGCGTGCAGGTTGCGAGGGACTGAGCGGTGGCCAGGCGGAACGAGGCCTACAGAGAGTCGAGAGAAGAAGGGGGACAAAACGAACGTGAGCTGATGTATTGAAGTATCCGTATAGAACAGATGATCAGACCAACAGACACGAATTGTCAAACCGTGACGGCGTAAGGTCAGCAATGGCCACCGATGCCGCATTGCGGCCCCTGCACATGCGTGGATATCATCCAATTTCCGTCGCCGGTGATACTCATTCAGTGTTCACTCCAGGTCTATGCCGTCGAGGAACTCAGCGATGCTTCGAGGATGATGACGCGGCTGTGCACTCACCATCATCCCGGCGCGTCCGCACGCCCCGCCCTCGTCGATAGCAACCACCTCACGCACTCGAGAACCCGACAGAACGTGCCCCACAACTGTATGCATTACTTCACATTGCTGGCTTCGAAGGCCGTTTCTCTGGATGAACGAGGCACTAACTCTACGACGAACGTCGCGTCTGGTTCGCACTCGGAGTGCACGGACGAGGCACACACGAGTCTCATTCGGCAGATGAGACATGCAAGGACAAGCGTCGCCAGGTGCGGAAGGCTTCTCACTCGCGGTTCCGGTCCCAGTTGACTCAAGAGACATATACATAGACCTCGCTGTATCGCTGGTCTGCGGGCTAGCAGGTTGTTCAATGAGCGGCGGTAAGTGAACATATATATATCCCATCCGTGGACTATCGATACATGTAGATATCGCCTTATCAGCACGACTAGATGAACCCTCTGGAGACAACCCGCCTTCGTCCTACCGACTACAATTCCCCATGCTACATCATCGCGCGTTTTTGCGCGGCCCCCTCCTCATTTCCCCTCAGGCTTTTTCCCCTTCCCCTCAGGCTTTTTGCCGTCAGGCTTCTTCGCGTTCGCCACCCAGGTGTAGCTTTGAGCGGACGGGCGGCTCATCTTCATCACGTCGTGAGGTTGCCCAGCCTCCTTCGCCGCCTGCTTTTGTGCCCTCTCATATTTCGCCTGATCAGCGTGCCATTGCTTGCGGTCCTTTATGTGAGCTTCCATACTGGTGCCATGCGTCCGTTGGGGGAACTTTCCTGGGGATCGAGGGGGTTCCGCGCGTACGGATAACTGTTCGCCAAAGTAATCCCGATCAAAGAGTACCTGCAGATCGCCAAGAGCCCGCTCCGCAAGGTCAGCGTCGTCGCGGAAGCTACAGAGGGAAGGAGGTGTGCATCAGTCGAACCGCTCAAGCTGACTCGGCGAATGCGGAACAGTGCGTACGCAATGTAGGAAACGGGGCGCGCTACGGCAGACGACGCGAGCATCGCCGCGGAGACGAGAGGGAGGATGGTTGAGACGCGCATCTTGAATGGAGACTCGAGGTGCAGTGGCTGGACGGCGGCTGAAGGTAGAGTGCGGGTACGTCGTGGTCGTGCGTCACGGTGCGGGTCGTTCAATAATCAAGCAAGGCTGCATCGACAGCGGGCAGGTGAGAGATACATCGTCAGTACAGTCATTGACAGAATGCATACAGAGTAACTCACCGGCCGGCGCACTCGCTGTCGATGGGCTCCGAATAAGGGTTGGAGCTGGGTGTGCATTGCGGGTATTCCGTCCTTATAAATGTTTGCGGCGGTGCTGCGAGCCGACTCGGAAGGAACGTTGAGGTGACTCCAGAGGTACCGACTTTGGAGTCTCAGACGATATGCAATCATGGGGTGGGTGCGGTTAGTGATATGCGACATGCATCCTGATAGTATTATTGTAGGTCTTGATCCTGATCAAAACTTGAATATAACAGTCACGATGTAAGTATCTCGACTCGTCAGCTTGATAGCTGTGCAAGACTGGTGCAAGACCTAATGATGTCAAGGTACCACGACTCGGAGAGGCTCGCATGAACGCCTGTGATCCTGACGAGGGCGACATTAAGGTTGCGTAAGAAACCCGGCGAGGGTATCTTACTGCGGGGTAAGTGACTGCGCCGGATGTCAATTTTTTACGCACGTTTCTTACCGTAGGTAACACGTGTCACGTGATTGAAAAACGCGCCAGGTGCCTAGTACCTATTCAGATACACATGTACCATGGATCGCGGCTTTAATGCGCGGAGGAATAGACAAGGGCAATGCATCGATTGATTGCGATAGACTGATAGAGACCCTACACCGTACACGGCCGCCCTAAACGTCGCTGTCAAACTCCCAATCGACCTCACCGCCTTCATCTGCACTATCACCCGGCTCAGCCCCAGCCCCCTTCTCCGCCCTGTCTTCACCCATCTTACTCTCCTGTACGTCTGATCGGTCGGGTCCGTCGCTAGAAAGCAAGTCGCGAAGAATGGAGGACTCGAGATTCACATACACCTCTACCACGAATGTCTCGGCACTGCCACAATGTTCGATCTTCTCCGAGTCATCGAGCCACGCTGGGTGACCATCCGGCTCTTCAATGTCTTCGTCTTCGTGGTCCCTTTCACTCCCTGGAACCCTTGCCTGTGATGCAGATTGTGTTTGGTTTTTGCTAATTGATGTATCCTCACGCAGAGTGCTCTCGATCTCGTAAAACTTCTTGGCTGCAAGAATGATCGATGGCGTCGTGCGCGGCTGAAGGCTAGGATGAATATCAAGCAGATGTATAATAAGACATATATCACCTTTGTTGTAAGGTTGTGTTGTCGGATTTGCGACACTGACACCATCGCTTGCAGGGTCATCCGGTTTCGTACTGGGCTATTCAGCCGCGTGAAGAGTGATGCTGTACGTTCATCGGGCATCGAGTTGGGCATGACAGAGTACAGCTTGATCGCAAGAGCCTACGGTATGTCACATTAGATCAGCCGTCTCGATGAATATAGGGTGACGTACAGCAAGGACTTCAGTGTGAGGGATAGACTGCACGATCATCCACCAATCCAAGGCAGTCTGGCCATCATTGCGCCGCGGAACAGTGGTAAATGGGTAGCTATTCTGTGCGTACGCAAGAAACTGGCTCTTGAATTGTTTTACGAGCTGATTCCACTGTTTCTTCGGCACATTCAGGACAGGGTGTTCACCATGCACTGCTTCGGCTTGGAGCAGTGCCATCAAGTAGTGACCTACACGTTTGTAGACATCAAGGGACTGAATTCGTGGTGGATCCGAGGCGAGATCTGTGGGCTGTACGTGTTTTGATGACGAGCTAGCTTTGGATTGGCTGACTCGGAAAAGGTCAGACTTGAGGTAATCTGCCGTGCGATGTGAAGACTTTTAGCTAGACCGTCTTTGGCAGAGTGCAACACAAATCCACTCACTCGGGTCAAGATAGACTGCAGACAGGTGTGCATCGGTAGGTCCGTCTTCGAACATCTCGCTCCAGCGTGCATTGTAGATCGCACGGATCTCTGCCATCACGCTCTCTGGAATACCCGATGCCTTCTGCGCAAACACTTGTTTCAATGACGCACCAATCCCGCACCAGTAAAGGAACAAATCCGCGAGGGACACCTGTAGCGACTCAAGGAGGACGATCGTCTTCGCAAATGGAAGACCGACACTGAGAACCTGATTCAGCTGTGTCTCGAAGACCAACGTTGATGGTGAGTCGCGTATGAAACACTCCTGCGTTTCCTGTACGTGCTGCTGATCAGCACAGCAAAGCTTTTGTTCCTGAAATCTTCGTACCTCCACAGTGATCTTCCCACTTGAGCAGCCATCTCGGAGTGCAGGAAGGCATCGCCGCATGGCCACCGAAGCTCGAATGATCATCGCGAACCGGGTCTTTCCTATCTTCTCAAGGCCACGCGGTATACCGAGGCGTTCACGGATTACCGCCAACTCTTCAGCAGATTGGTCCGACTTAGAAAAGAATTGCAAGGTGCGTCGTACAGTTGCAATCACGTCCTTGAAAAACGGCAATTTGCACAGGTTCTTGATCGGAAGGTTTGTATGATGGACCGGATCAGGTATGTTCATGATTGTAGGGACCGTCGCACACAGAAAGCGCCGACATGCTTTCGTGTTGCCAGTGCTGTCCGATGAAGCGGCGCTGAAGCGTCTTCGACCGATCGGATCAACAACTTGCTGAAAAGCAAAAGTGTGAGTGAGTTACGTCTTTGTATGTGTCAATAACCAAACCTTCAGCATGCTTCGTGCCAACCAGTCCGCCGTATGTCGCACCCGGCAACCGTCAATGACATCAACAAAAAAGACCTGGCGATTCGGCGCGGCAGTCGTGACATGCACAGTATAGTACGACTGGTGGCGCTTATTCGCACCACCGTCGTACGTGATGGTGAGGTTGATTTGAGTGCGGAGATACTCAATTTGCAGATGTCGTACATGTTCTGCCTCCTGTGGGATTTGTGTCTCCTCGAGCGTACTCCGGGACACAGGTATGTACTTTGTGTTCCCTATCTCCCACATGTTCTTCCACGTCGCTGAATCGACAACTGATGGGGGAATACCGTTACAGCAGATGAACTTCAAGATCGCGGGGTCAAGCTGTGCCTTCAGCCAAGTGCGCCCGGCCCGCCCAACCATGACATCGAGCGTCGTCTGGCCAGACTTCGCTGCATGTGGGTTGGGCTGTCTGCTGTCGACAGCTACCAACCGGGAGTTCTCGGGTGCCAATGCCGCTTGGGCAGCAACTACAGTGGAGGGATCCGGCGCCAATGTCATGTTCGTGATGCCGCCATTCGGAGCGACCTTCTGGGCAAACACTAAGGCGAGTTGCTCCTGCCTTGCACTTGGGGCGTTCTCCCTACTCGCCTTCGAGGCTTTTGATCGCAACTCTGTTGACAGGTGCAGACACCGGCTCGCATGAGAAAGGACTCGGCCACTTGTCCGACCAGACCAAGCCCGATCGCAGCCACGACCAATGCAACCATAGCGTTTCTTGCCATCGGTCGCCTGATTCAGCTCGCGTGTGAGCTGGTCCAGGAGTGGCTTGCGAGGGCGTCCTATTGTTTGTGCATGAGGTACGTCCGAGTCCCCACTTGTATTGCTCCCATCTAACTCTGACTCGGAGTCGCCATCTGATGGTGTGTCGCCTAGGATATCCTTAGGGTTTGGCTTGAAGGATCGCTGCGTAGCATGTGAGTTTCAGTGGACATGCATTGGCACAGACATATACGCTCACAATTGCAGGTAGTGCCACAGATTTCTCCGCTTTCTTCTTCTGAGACTTCCCCCCACGACGACGCTTCTTCACGGGCTTCTTCAGGTGCGGTGCCGCCTTCCCCATCAGTATGACGTCCATCGGGTTGACCTCGGAACCCTCATCACTAAGGTTGCTCCCCACATCGAACCCCATTCCGATCTGTAAGTCGCCTTACTCGTCGTGCCTCGTATGCGCTGCACCCAGTCTCTATTCAAGAGGTACTGTCTACAGAGTGCATACAAAGGCGGTGACGAGGTAAAAGGCTGAGGACTCGTAGGTGCGCCGGCGCGCCATACGAGTCCTGGAGCAAACAAGGACAAATATGTAATGTAAGATATACTGTAACGGGAATATCCGTTACACTCTCCCCCACTGGACACGACCACGGGTCCCAGCGATAACCAGAGAAACAGAGAGAAAAAGGAAAGAAAGGAATAGTACATGCAACCACCCAATGGTGGTAGCAATTGGCAAGACAAAGATGATGTTGAACTGTAGACAGCGACAAACTACTTCATGTCAGTGAGCAGACACGACCGTTCACCATTGTCATACACAACTCGACAGAGTTGTGCAACCAGCATGTAGACTACTACTCGGACTCCGAGTAATAGTCTGCATCTTCGGAGTTACCCTCGTCTTCAGCAGATAGTGCAGAAGAACTGTAGGTATCCTCCATCTCGGACTGCTCGTAGTAGTCAGAGACTACTACTGAGTCTGCCCCCTCAGAACCTGGATTCGAAGAATCCCACGAGCTATGATGCTCGGACTCGGAGAGAGACTCTGACTCAACATGGTCAGAGTAATCCTCACGAGTTGTGGTACGAGGCTCCTCATCAGAGGAGTTGTACCAGTCGGAGTCATCCTGAGGTTGACTGCGAGGTGGTACAACAAGCCATCCCAGCTTGTTGTAGGCCCAATATCGCACCATCTCCATAGGTAATGGTGCAACCAGCAGAGGATCGAACTCGAGAGGAACCACTTCCAACTCCCTCTGGAAGTGGTCCCATGCTCGACGAGCTGCACGAGAATATGTCCCCAGTCGCGGGGACATCTCCTCGATTGCATGCCCACAGCTAAGTGCTGACCTCTTGCAGTGAGCCCAAATGTCCCACTCGCCAACACTCGCCGCAAAATCAGCCTCATCGAGGTCGAGGTCGAGTTGGTCTGCAAGGAGTGTGAAGCACTCCTCGCGCGACGCCTTATCCATGGGCCATTGACTCACATCGACAGTCACTGGGTGACCCCGTGCAGTCGGTACTCGGTTCAATCCCAGTACTTCGCGGCGCGAGGTACTGGCTTCCAAGGTGATGTCGTGGCTGCGATGATCACTAGTATGCTGCACGTCGAGTCGATCGCTCGACACTCGTGGTACAGGTAGTACCTGCCTTGATGTTCGACGTGAGGCCCGTACGTCAAGCTCGATGCTTGGCGTCCGTGTCACTGCAGGATCCGAGACCAGTACCTCTTCACGCGATGTACTGGTGGTAGCGTGAGATAGGCGGCGGCCACTCGAGGCCCCGCTCCCTTCCCCTCTCAGAATAGCATCCCACTTCGTAGTGGTTGACGATTTCCCCTGCACTCGCCCCGACTCGGTCCCAATGCCATGGATAGTAGTAGGTGAACGTTGCCATTCACCCACCTCCGTTCCGACCAGTTCCCGGAAGCGCTTCCTTGATCGGGTACGCGGCGACGTCGTCGTCGTCGTGCTAGTCGACGCGGGCACCTCACTCGAGGTGCCTGCCGTGCTGCGCACCCGCGAGAACAAATATTCGTTCTCGCTAGGTGTTCCAATTCCAGGTACTTCGCAGTACTTGGGCTGGTGCTCGCTGTCGAGGGATACAGCCAGCTCACGTCGGTCTTGCTGAACGCGACGTGCCGGTAGCACGTAGCGTCCCGACGGTCGCCCTTCGGACTCAGGTGCGGCCTGCCGTACGTCTACTGTGGTAGACGTCTCGGTCGACAGTTCGCAATCCACGGAATTGGGCTCGGACGCCATCCCCTCTTGACATTTGTTCACGACGATCGGTGGGCCCGTCGTGTTCGATGCGTGAGAGGGCGGCGACACTGTGACTAGGAAGGGTGAGTTGGCGAGTACCTCATGGTACTCGCCCTTGGCAGTGGAGGGGTCGCGTCTGCGTGTGACATCCTCTGCATGACTTGCATCGACCAACGAGGTCGATGCCTGTACTGCGTCGGATGCGGATGTTAGGGGTGCCTCGGTACTGCAACCATGCAGTCCGAGTGCACCGCGATATGCACTCTCGGGAACGACCTTGAGGTCATTCCCTAGTGAAGTGCATGGGACCGATGACGGAGGTCGCGAGTGGAACGTATGGTCGCCGGTGACATCAGCGGCGCGTCCGTTGAGCGTAGGGCTCACCATCTGTGCGTCGTGATTGCGATGCTGGTCCGTGCTGGGCGCGACCTGTAGATCGCCTCGTGAATCGGCGGTACCACTATCCTTCATGGTGAATGCCACGACAGCCGATGTGGTTGTCGTGGTCGTCACCGGTGGTGGTATCGGCACAGGAGGTGGTGACGGCGGAACGTACTCGCTTTTCGACTCATCGCCGATCTCCTCGGTATAAACTTCGTTCGCGAAGTAGTACGTCTGCGCGTGAGCTGTACAACCGTTGGGCACGTCGGTCGAGCAACCTCGCTCGCCAACTATATCGCAATGCATTGCCAGGCCAGGTGCGACCTGTAGGTCGCTCCATGGGCCATCCGTACCACCATCGTACGTGGTAACTGCCACGACAACCGTGTTGGTAGTCGTGGTCGTCACAGGTGGTGGTAGTGGGATAGGAGATGGTGGTAGGGGAGGAAGAGATACGTCTAAAGAAGACGTACCTGTCGTCGAGCTATCCCGCTCGACGAGCTCATCTTCTCTTCTTGCCCTGCACCCTTCCCCCTCTCCTCCTTCTGCCTGACCTTCCTCATCTACCTCTCGTGATTCCTCGCCCTCACCCACATCGCCCTCGTCCCCGTCCTGACCGTCCTTCGGTCCTTCACGCGCTCTTCGGAGTTCGCGGGCGACCTCCGACTTGCGGTGCCTGTCATTGTCGCCAACGATATCGGGGGCCGCGGAGAGGTCGGTATGAAGCTGGGTGGGGGTCCCTAGGAGCGAGCCATCGACGAGAACTGTGAAGTTCTCGCCGGGTTGACGGTCGGGAGGCCGTTCTAGTCGGTCGGGGTTCGTAAGCGCCGGCTGCTGCACTGTTGGTAGTGCAGTAGTCGGGTCGCGATCTCGAGCTCGCGCGTTGCTCGGGAATACGCGATCGTCGGGCAGCGCGCTCGTCGGGGCACCAAGATCGCGGAGAGAGCGGTGGATGCTGTTGCTGGAGAGGTCGAGGTCGAAGTCGAGGCCGAGGTCCGCCGCTTCGTCGAGTCGGTCGGGGTTGTATCGTGGACCTGTCAGCTGAACCGCGAGATGTTCAGCTGTCTTGGAACTACCGGGGGCTTGTACTTCCGGTTGGGAGTGCAAGTCTTCTCGGAGGTCGGCTGCGCGCGATTGGGGGCTGCTGGAGATGTCGTCGAGGTCGTCCCACGACCTGGCCAGCTGAACCTCAGGAGGTTCAGCTACATCGGAGCAACTGGGGGCCTGCACTTCCGTGAGGACGTGCAGTCCGTGTGGCGTCGCAGTTGGTCGAGCGATGGGCCTGCCAGACGACGGGTCAGGGACGGTCGACGCGCAGTGGTCATAGCCACCGGGTACGTCTAGCAGTAGGCTAGGCGTACGCGCTGCACAATGGACGGTCGAAGCTGAGTAGAGCACTTCGGACATGCATCGCTGCAGGTCCGTCGTGCTGCCTCGCGAATTAGGAGGTACAACCGCAAGGTCGTCTCCTACCGCATGCGCTCTGCCTTGCAGAATGGGAGGCACGACCGTTGGGTCGTCCCGTAGCGCAGACGCACCGTCTTCATGACCAACAACGCGTACGAAGAACTGAACGTTCGTCGCTACGCTTGTTGGTGCGGATGCGGGCAAGGTAGGAGGTATCGAGGTGGGTACGTCCATCAGGGGCGTACCTTCAGTTCTCGACCCTTTATGCTGGTCGGTAGCGTGTACGTCGAGCATCAATCTCGGCGTACTTGCTATCCATCGGTCGGTGATGGATGAATGGGACACGTCGGACGTGCACTGCTGCGCGTCCGCCGTGTCGCTTTGCGAGATGGACGGTACGACCACGAGGTCGTCCCGTATCCTGGGCGTACTGCCTCGGAGATTGGAGGGTACGACCGCGAGGTCGTCCCGTAGCACAGACGTGCTATCCCGCGAAACATCCGGTACGACTTCGCAGTCGTACCTGGAGGCGGAAGTGCCGTCTTCGTGGTCAATAGGACGCACGACGAACCTCTCGTCCGTCGTTACGCGTGCTGGCGCGGGCACTGGAAGCGGAGGCGGCGATGCAGGGACGTACGGTGAGTACGTGCCTGTGGTTGTCGAGCCTTCGTGCTCGTGCATCCTGCTCGCCCCGCACCCTTCCTCCCTCTGTCCCTGTGTTCCTTCCTCAACCTCGCTACTCCTCTGCCCCCTGTCCTCCTTCCACTCTCCTTGCTCCGCGTTGTCCATGGTCCGCTCAGTCTTGCGGCTCGGCGTTGGACTTGAACGCGCGTCGTTCAAGTCCTGGGTCATGCGGCTGGGTTGCGTGTCGCCAGAGCCGCTGTGACGGTCGCCAGAGTCATCGGACTCGAAGAGGGGACCTCCCAAGTCGAGGCGCGGGACCAGAAGGGAGAGTTGAGGAGCCGGTGAGGGAGGAATTGGCGATCTGGTACCGGGAGGTACCAGGTCGTCGGTCGCCCCTGACTGGACTGGCGGTAAGTCAGCCAGCCATTCGCGAACGCGAGTTCGCACTCGCGTCGGGGCGGCGCGCGCGTCTGGTTCGCCAGACGGGCGCTCGAGGTGGCTGCCCAGAGAGTGGGAGGAGGCGAGTACGAGGGGTCGGTGGTGGCGGTCGAGCGTAGTGCGGTGGGCGCTAGAACTCGGGGCGCTCACCACAGACTCGTGGCGCTCGACGCCTGTAGCGTTGAGCGCGTCGCGCGTCGCGTCGAGCAGGCTGCTCGTCGTGGCGCGCACGGCGTTCGACAACGAATATATATATTTTGTGTCGCGGCTCATCTCTGAACACGCGACGAGCGTATCTACACGCGTGGGCTCGTTCCCACTGCACACAGTACTACTGTAGTACTGTGTGCCTATGCCCTCCCGGGTGCTGATACGAGTCAGCTCCTGGCGCTGCTCGTTCAATCCAGGCACGAGCTCGACTACGGCTACGTTTCGAGCTCGGCGCGCTCACCACTCCTCAGAGTGGTGCCGAGCTTCATCGGCTGGGTCGAAGCAGGTGGAGAGTCGGTCTCCGGGCGGTTTTGAGCGGGCTCGACATTGGGCTCGAGCCGCTCAGTGCGCGGTGCCTGTTCGACCTCACGGTCGGACAGCGCCTGCTCTGTGAGGGCTCCGGCTGAGTCCTCGCGGTGAGAAGACTCAGTCCGGGTGGTCTTCGTGCGAGAAGACCGACTGCGGCTGCTGGCCTCGGACAGAGCGGCGTCGACCGTTGCCAGCAGTTCGGCCTCGAGTTGCTTGGATTCCTCGAGGGCTTTGTTGATCCGCTCTTGACTTGCGGCGAGCTTTGCTCGGACTTCCGCACGCAACGCCTTCAGCTTGCTGCGGGTTCCACTGTGGGACCCGCGGCTGCCTCGCGAAGGTGCGGACGGGGTGTTGGTCGACTCGGACATCTTGTCGAGTTGTCGAGTTGGCCAGAGGATGATCAAAGTAGCATAGAGTTTGTTGATGTCGAATTTCGAGGTTCGAGAGTTTGTTGCCTAGAGTAGATAGTCCCCAGAGAGATAGAAGCTTTTCTGGAGCGCAAAAAAGTGTAAGTCGCCTTACTCGTCGTGCCTCGTATGCGCTGCACCCAGTCTCTATTCAAGAGGTACTGTCTACAGAGTGCATACAAAGGCGGTGACGAGGTAAAAGGCTGAGGACTCGTAGGTGCGCCGGCGCGCCATACGAGTCCTGGAGCAAACAAGGACAAATATGTAATGTAAGATATACTGTAACGGGAATATCCGTTACACGATCGGACGCCGTTTTCGCTTCATCGGCTTTCCTGGCACCTTTGGGGTCTCGCATGCGATGGCTGCACTGTCACACTTGGGCTTGGACAGGATAGGTATGTCGATAGACGTATCAATGATGGTGATGTCCTGATCAATCTGCAGGGCGCCACCGAGGTCACTATCAGTGAAGTCGGGTGTTGATGTCGCGGCTTCCACGGGCTAAGCAGTTAGTAACTCTCGTGAGTCTTGCATTCAATGAGATAGGGTACCAAGCACAAAGGCTTACTGAGGATTGCGAGATCTTCCATATACGTTCCAAATAGACCATCCGTGCACTGTCGACCATATCAGGCAATATGAGGGGATGGAGATCCGGCAGATAGTAGTGGGCAATAGCGTTCGGGGCACAGATTCCACACGAGAAGTAGTCGCCAGGCGCCTGTCGCATGCATGGAAGGTGCGATACAGAGAGCTGCTGTTTTGCGTACGGTGTGAGCCACCATTGAAGCAGATCATGCAGCTGAGGAGGGATGCTATGTCCCATCGAGTCCGCGAAGAGGATAGACCACACCCTGAAGTCCACGACGACCGCGATCCAGTGGGCACCATTCAAATTGAAAACGAGACTCAGTGATAGAAGGTCCCCACTTGCGAGGCGCTCTCCAAATTGGACCAACCAAGCAGGGAGCACGACCTTTGGAGGTGGGATAGGCTTTCCTGTGGCACTGCGTACCTGTGCCCTTTCTACATACCTGCTCCATAGCAGCCACGTCCAGTATGCATCCCAAATAGCATGTCTCCCTCGAAGGTGGTCGTCCATGTCGATATCGGTGCGTAGTATGTTACAGATCATTCCGATGTGTTCTGATGCGAGCCATTCTCGTGAAAGAAATGAGGCGAGAGCTATCGTGTCCGGCTTCCCTTCAAGAGCTCCAAGGCGTCCGGAATGGGGTATCCGTGTCAAGAGGAGTCGGGTTGAGTCGGTCAGTGGCCCTGGAGCACGCCCAGACGTCAACAACCATGTTTCGGCTGTTTTCCAGGTTGTGTAGGTGCTCCGCATGCGATGCACACGGCGCCAGAAACTGAGAATATACAAGGGCACCAGGGAGTTGGCACCAGTGCTGGTGGCATACGAGGTCGATATGAGGTGAGCATAATGGATAGAGACCTTTCCAGCAAGCCACTCTTCTCCTACAGCACGAAAGAGCTTATCTATCATCTCCACAGGCGGCACAGGCAGCGCGCGCAGGTCCTTGAACGTAGGAAGGGTGGAAGGTTCTGCAGAGAAGAAGTCTTGTGTACTCGGGGTAGGACTTCCGGGCGAGAGTATTGGTACCTGGCCATTAGCAATGAATGCACGGACAGTTGTGGATGGTACACCGAAAAGAGCTATCTCCAAGCCAGATGGCATTGTGAGAAGGCTCGCAAGGACTTCGCGGACGTAGCTTGGTGTGTTTGCAAACTGCTGGCCAGCCAGTATCCATTCATGCGAGACGAAGACACCAGCATGCGACTTAGGTTTCGACATGGGCAGAGGTCCGAGTCTTTTGGAGTCGTTTGAGTGACAAGGTTCAAGTCGTCGAGTACTAGTACTTCAGAGATGGCGGGCAGTGACTGCGACACTCGCATGGCTTACTAACCCAGCTCCATTGCCAATGTGTTACCATGTATCCGCATAATAGTACAATTGGCAACTTGAACTTGGAGTCACTGCTCCAGCGGTGTCACGGTAGGGCACCAAGTTGGACGGAAGTTCCGAGACTAATATACTCAGGTCAAATAAAATAAAAGTTCACTATGTTTGGATATGAACAGAGTCTACGATATACGAGTATCTGTACTACTAGTCGGCCAGGTCAGACAGTACACGACACTGCAGCCAGGCGCCGGATTGTCGGGCGCGCGTCGCGCGACGACCCAATGCGGTCGCGCGGCGCCGCCGCGCGAAATCTCATCATGTGACCGTTGGTCTGAAAACTTTCTTACATGTACACCCGGGGACCCTGTAAGTTAGTCGTATTTAACCAGTATAATACATGTAAAGTAATTACATGTTTAAAACAGGCCCCTTTCATACGCTACCCTAGGCGACATGCCTTGTTTGTGCGGACTCGATACGGGCTCGCTCTCGGTCTGTTTTACATGCGCGCCAACACTACACACAGGTGCGCCGCAGTGACCGCATACAACGCGCTCTCGGGCGGCGACACCGTCCTCGTCCTTGGCACCGGCGGCGTGTCCATCTTCGGCCTCCAGATCGCCGTCGCGAGCGGCGCGACCGTCATCGCGACTTCGTCCTCCGACAATAAGCTAGGCGTTGCGAAGAAGCTCGGCGCGAGAAGACTCCCGACTGGGTAATGGAGGTTCCGTGGATCGTGAGTGATCGCTAGGCATGGGTACGTAGGTGGGCTGACTCCGGTAGATGGGCGGGCGAGGCGTGGACCACGTCATCGGGGCGGGCACGAGCAACAAGTCGCTCGCGAGCATGCGATATGGCGGGACGGTCAGCGTGATCGGCTTCGTCGGCGGGGTGGATATTCTATTTCACGTCTACATATGCCCGCTCACTGTCGCTTGTCCCGCCAGGCGCGACATGCCGAATTCGCCTAGTATCGTCTTGAGGGGAGCACTAGTAGGTTGATGCGTCTGCCGGGCCAAACCACACAACTCGTCCTCGATCCGGGCGGTGGACGAGGGGGCTCGTGTGGTCAACGAGGGCCTCAAGGGAGATTCTAACGGGGTGTACCTCTTGCCTCGTTGTCTTGCTCATGTTTACTGAGAGATACCATCTATGAATGCTACTGTCTGATAGTTGTCCGCGCTTCGACTAGCTACGCCGCAGTCCTTCCGTTCTGGCACGTTGTCGAGACTCTAGAGGCCACGCGTGGCAGTTTCACGACCCGCCACCCAGGGGTTGATTCTCATCCACCATGGTTCCCCTTCCGCACTGAGCGCGTACTATCCTGGCAGAAATATGTTCCTAAACACCAGCCGCCTATCAAATTACATAGCCGCTTGAGTCAAAACTCACGGACAACATCCTCGACGAGGTCTTGACCGGCGCTACCGGCCGCAAACCCGAAGAGAAGGACTATGTTCGGATTGGGATGATCACTGGCAGACCGTTGTATGATGGCGCTACTAGCCGCAAACTGCGGTGAGTGTCCAACTGTTGGCGTCGTTGAATATATCGAGTGTTTATGAGATCATGCGGGCTTCATTTAGGCAGTACTAGCATCAAGTTGACGACGTGTACAACGGCCATAGCTTGGCACTACACGAGATCAGCGTCAATACAGGGAACGAGTATGTGTTGCACGTACAGCCGTGAATCAGACCTCGACGGTTAATTGTCAGCGGCAGAACAGACACGAACTGTCAAATCGTGACGGCGTACTAAGGTTAGCAGTAGCTGCCGATGCCGCATCCCTGCACATGCGTGGATATCATCCAATATCTATCGCCAGTGGCACTGATCATTGCTCGCTCCAGGTCTATCCCGTCGAGAAATTCAGCGATGCTCCGTGGGTAACGACACGGCTGTGCGCTCACCATCATCCCGGCGCGTCCGCTCGCCTCGCCCTCGTCGATAGCAGCTACCTCACGCAGCCCGACAGCGCCGTGACGCCATGCATTACTTCAGAATCATATTGCTGGCTTCGAACGGCGTTGATCTGGGTGAATGAGGTACTGACTCTACAACAGCTTTGCGTCTGTTTCGCAGAGTACACGGACGACACGAGTCTCATTCAGCGAATGAGACGCTGCAGGCGGGCAAGTATCGCCAGGTGAGGTAGGCTTCTCACGGTTCTCGTTCCGGTTGACTCAAGAGACACATAGACCTCGCTGTATCGTTGGTCTGCAGGCTAGCAGGTCATTCAATGGGCGACGGTATATACCATTCGTGGACAGGACATGAATCGCCCTGTCAGCGCGGATACATTGACCCTCTGCAGACTGCCGCCTTCGTCCTACTAACTACGGATCCCCATGCTACTTCGTCGCGCGGCCCCTCTTCTCAGTCCCTCTTAGGTGCCACCCACTTCTTACTTTGAGCCTTCGGGCGGCTACCCACCTTCTTGACGTGAGGACTGCTCCCCTGTGCAGGCTGGCTACTCCCCTGTGCACTTGCAGGCTGGCTAACCCCCTGCGCACCGGCAGGCTGGCTACCCCCCTTCTTAGCCGCCTTCGCAGCCGCCTTCGCCGCCTTCTTAGCCGCCTTTTGTCCGGCCTCATGCGCCCTAGCGCGCTCGTGCCAGTCTTCGCGCTCTGCTGTGTGAGCTTTCAGCCCATCCATGCCACGGTGAGCACCCCGTTGGGGGAACGTTCCTGGGTGTGGAGGGCCTTCCGTGCGTACGGATAGCTGTTCGCCAAAGTAACCCCGATCGAAGAGTACCTGCAGATCGCCAAGAGCCCGCTCCGCAAGGTCAGCGTCGTCGCGGAAGCTACAGACGGAAGGGGGTGTACATCAGGCGAAGCTGACGCTGCAGACAGAGAACAACACGTACGCGATGTAGGAAACGGGGCGCGCTACGGCAGACGAGGCGAGAATCGCCGCGGAGGCGAGAGGGAGGATGGTTGAGAGGCGCATCTTGAATGGGAGGGGCAGGTGCAGTGGCTAGACGGCGGCTGAAGGTAGGGTGCGGGTACGTCGTGGTCGTGCGTCACGGTATGGGTCGTTCAATAATCAAGTGAGGCTGCGTTGACAGCGGGCAGGTGAGAGGTACATCGTCAGTACAGTCATTGACGGAATGCGTGCAGAGTAACTCACCGGCCGGCACACTCGCTGTCGATGGGCTCCGAATAAGGATTGCGTTGGAGCTGGGTGTGCATTGCGGGTGTTCCGTCCTTATGAATGTTTTGGGTGGTGCTGCGAGCCGAAGGAACGTTGAGGCGACTCCATGGCAGAGGTGCCGACTTCCGAGTCCCAGACGACCTGCAGTCATAGCTACGTGCGGTTAGTGATATGCGACATGAATCATGATTGCATTTTTGTAGGTCCTTGATCCTGATCAAAAGAATGTAGCCGTCACGACGTAAGTATCTCGACTCGTCAGCTTGGTAGCTGTGCAAGATCGAATAACGTCATGATACCACGACTCGGAGAGGCTCGCAGGAACGCGTGTGATCCACGCAGAACTCGTCCACGACTGGACACTGACAGAGTCACCAATCCCCCGCCTTCCCGACCAAGACGTGTTTCTCCAACATCGTCCTCATGGCCGCTGCGGCGTCTCCCGCCCTGGCCCCTCTCATCTCAAGGCACGTCACGTCTTCAAGCAAGGGCCGTCGGAAAGTCCCCCCGGCGAATGCCGACAAAGAGCTCGGGCTTCCTCGAGGCGCAGTTACGAGGCGGTGGTGCTTATGGTCAGAGGGCCGCAGAGTTGGTCGTATGGAAGAATAGGATATTTCAGGGCCCGCGTACAGCAGCCCGTGCCGGGATACAATTCCGTCTTCATCGAGAACGTCGAGGTCGCAAGCATTGCAGTCTCCTCAAGAGCACGTCCCTCTCTGCGACGGGCGGTGGAGAGAGACTGAAGGGGGGGACGGACCTGGAGAGAGAGGGCGTGAACGTTGAACCTTGACGAGGACTTTGGTTGACGTGGGGCGGCGGATGGAAGCCTCGCTGAGCGACAAGGTGTGAAAGTCGTCCGTCTGTGTGCGCGTCAGGATTGAACGCCTTCCGCGCCGCACACGAGAAACGCAGCTTTCTACGTCTCCGTTTGAGGTTTGACGGTATGGATGGGCGGAGCAAGCAGGTCTACGCAAAGCCTCCGTCTTTGGTTAGCCGTTCTACTACTACCAGTCACGCTGTCCGTAGCTGACGTAATCCGCCACGTCTTGTTTCAGTCAGTTCAGTGAGTCACTTAGTCGTCCTCAGCCAGCCTCAGCCCCTCCCGTCATCGAGACAAATCACTCAGTCAATAGACGGCCATAGGACGTCTCGCAAGAACCTTCCGCGGAACGCACGTCTATCATCGGAGGTGATCTCGCTGAACGAGGTAAGTAGTAACTCTACGACAGTCGCAGAGTGCACGGACGACGACACGAGTCTCGTTCGGCAGATGAGACAGGCAAGGACAAGCATCGCCAGGTAAGGAAGGGCTTCTGACTCGCGGTGCTGGTTCTGGTTGACTCAAGAGACACTGCTCACAGACCTCGTTGTATTCTGCGGGCTAGCAGATCATTCTAAGCGACGGTGTGTACCATCACATTATTCGTGGACTGCTAGAATATCCTGCCAGCGTAACTAGACGGACCCTCAGACGGCCCGCCTTCGTCCTACTAATGACAATTACCCGTGCTACGGCTTATGCGCAGTCCAGGTCCTACTGTGAGGCTTGCGGGAATCCGGCGCAACCCATTTTTTGCTTTGACTCGACGGGCGGGGACCCGGTGCCTTAGCCAGGGTTCCTTTTTCTACCTTCGCAGCCCCATGTGCACGTTGTGCAGCTTTATGTGCAGCCAATTGCGTGTTATATTCTCCGCGTGCTTGTGTCCAAGC